TTTGAAAAAGGGGTTTTGCAGGAAAACCAGGGGGTTTTTTTTTTTTTTTTTTTTTTTTTTAAGTTTTAGCCTTTATATATTAGTTTACTGAATACTTCGCATTTCCAAGGCCAGCCCCCTTGCATCTCAGCGCCGCTAGGATGACAATTCCGGGCTCTTTGCAGGCATTACATCATGTGCGCCACACCGGGAGCCCCACATGGCCCAGGCCGGCCCAGTGGGGGAAGTTCAGGCAGCCTTTCAGCGGCACACGCACTGTAACCCCGCTAGCGGCAGCCAACTACAGTGGAGGCCGGCCGGCCCATCAGCCCACCGCCTGCGATTTTACTTGGCCGATAGCTTCCTTGTTTCCCGCAGCAGCGGCAGCAGCTTCTCCAGCTTTCTTCTTCAAACCGACATCTAAAATTGGGCTCGCCTGGCGCGAGACTTTCTTCATCCTTCCCTTTGGGTGCTTGTTTGGTCAACTTCTCCCTACTTTCTGCGTGGCCTGACGCTTCTCTTTGCCGCTCGTGTCTCCTCTGGCTGACGACGGTACTTCGCCGTTTCGCTGAAGCTGAAAGCGTCGTTGTCGTCATACCCCAAACGGCACCGCAGTTTCTCACCCAAGCCGCCGGTGTCCTCTATCTGCGACTGTTGCCTGGCTAGCTTCAGCTGCTGGCCAATTCTCTTCCGACCTTTACTTTTTCACGATATTGGCGGGAGAACGGCTCGAACGGTTCCTCTGCCACGCACTGGCCGAGCGTTTACGTACCAACCAACTCAACTGCCAAGACCTGGGCCGTTTCCTCCACCACCTGCGATATATTTAATATCGCACGACAAAGCTGTCGCTCACCCACCTGCCACTCGAAGACAAAAAAATGCCGATGAAATTCTGATCCCGACCTGCATTACGAAAAGCGACGCTCGTTGAGGGCTTGCCCGCCCTCGCTAGATCTACGGTGCCCACTGGTCAGACAGACATGCTTTGAGACGGACTAGCTGCAATGAAGCTCCGCAGCTCGCGCCGTGTGGCAGGCCTCAAACCGGACGATTTTGACCACGAAATCAATCTCGTCGATAATGACGGCACCGTCTCCCCGCACAACGGCCACCACTACGCCCAAATAGACCGGACCACGACTACTTCCAACCTCTTGACGCCTGCCTCCAGTACCCAGAGAAGCAGCCGAGCTCCTAGTAGTGCCGATGAGTCGAATGCGTCTAGTAGGCGCCCCAGTCCCAGTGGCAGTCCCAGTGGCAGTCGCCAAGTCATAATCGAGCAACCAGAGGAGCAAGAGAATGATCGCGCTGTGAGGCCGTCGCCATCTCAGCCCTCTATCGAAGTCCAGGATGCGACTCCGATGCCTGAACCGCAGCCGTACTCAAGAACCAAGAAGGTGATTGACAACCGAGAGACGGCCATTGACATCCTGTACGAAAACGAGCGCGGCGGTTTTTTCTGCGGCGGTGCTTTGTTTTCTTCAAAAGCACTGGGCGGTTTGGACCCTACGCCGTGGACAAACGAATTTCACAAACCGTCATTGACCGACATAAATAGCGCCGTCGTCCCCGATCCGACGTGGGAGTGGGCTTGGCCAGAATGGCGTGTCAACCACCAAGAAGGGGTCGATGAGTTTGGCTGGGAATATTCCTTTGCCTTTTCCAGCATGTTCTCTTGGCATGATGCCAAGTGGTGGAATTCTTTCGTCAGACGGCGAGCTTGGATACGGAGAAGGGTAAAGAAGCGTTGCGACCATAGGGCTGACGAGCCCCATCTCCTCACCACCGACTACTTCTCCGTACGGCCAGCGTCAGACCGCACGAGAACCGCAGCTGGCAGCCTCATTAGCCGCGCTGCCAGCCGCGCAAGCACGGCCCAAGCGTCTACTGTGGATTTCTTCGAAGAAGAGCCCGATATCTTTGATCTCCCGACTTTAATGCGGACCCTTCGCTTCGCTCGCATAGATCGTGAAAAGAGAGAGGCTGTGGAAAACTACCTGGCACATGCGCAAGACCTCCCGGCCCTGCAGAGGAACATGCACGAAATCATGGGGCTCTTCGTTTTCCAGGCATCGCGCAGGTTATTACTATGCCACATTGTCGCCAAGTACAACGAAGCCAATCGCGATGCCGGAACGGAGCCCACTCCGGCCATGAAGAATCGACGAGATGCCCTGAAGGCGGCCCTCCGGCATGCGGATCAAGAAGTCCGTAAGCTAGCATACTGGAGCGACGTCAAGCACATGGTTGCCTCGGGTGAATCGAGGATCCAGCTGAAAGATGACCGACATAAATTCTATGAGAGTTTTGAAGGCATCGATCAAAGTGGTCCGGCGCCACCGAATCTAGGCGCACTCCCGGGCAAATCTTGAACCCCCATTTTTCACTACAAAACCTGTATAACCGCACATATCCTTTTACTATTATCCTTGCTGGATACCCCGTTTCATTTCTCGCTTGTCTTGTTGTTTCCTTGTCGTCATGGACCATTGCTGGAGTCGCTGAAAGCAAACTGTGGCTCGTCTATGTCATGTACTACGAATTGGGTTCTTTGTCGGACGCTATAAAGATTTCATATTGGCGCAGGTGCATCATGAGCGTTTCCATGGAGATTCGACTCCATTGGCAGGGAGTTGGCCGTTTAATCTGTCATGCGTAATTGCTAGTCTTTTGGATATACATAATGATTGTATTTGATTATGTATCTGATGCCTCCCGTGCAGCCATCTCTCCCTCGCTCAGAGGCGGCACGTGCCGGCTTTCTATAACAAGTCAATGCACCCGGTTAGCATGATTCAACGAGACGACAAGGGACTTGGCTTGGGGAGGCTCACGTTGCCCTTGGCGGAGCAGTAACCACAGCAAACGCCCAAGCTGCCGTTGCCCTTGCAGCGCTGGCCGTAGGTGAGGCAGCGGGCCTCGATGCCGGTCGCGGGTTTCATGTCGGACGCGGGCTCGAGGTCAGCGATGGGCTCGAGGTCAGCCTTGGGCTCGACGGCGGCCTTGGGCGCAATGACGGCGGCGTGGACGGCGGCAAAGGCCGTGAGGATGGTAAGGACGGACGCGGAGACCTTCATCTTGGGGATGGTGGGTGGTGGCCAGGAAGTCGATTGATTGACGCGGGGTTTGGAAAATGCAGGAGGAGCTTGTTGTTAGGAAGAAGGGGTCTGACTTGGAACAGCAGAGTGGTGGTCCTCTTATAGTTGCGAGGAAGCCATGCTTGCGCTCTCTGATGTGTCAAGGTTGCGCAGCTGGTCGGCCCATGGCTTTGTTCGTCGGGGTTGTCCTGGCGGTGAGTGAGTTTACATGGCTGTTGCGCGTTTCCTCTCAACGAACAAAGATTGCATGTTCATGCCTGGCATGAGATGAATACGCGCAAATGTGGCGCCTCAAAGCGGCGATGACCATTTTGGGGGTGACGATCCTGTTGTACAGCTACATCTTCTGTTTGACGTCCAGCGAGATCAGCTGCAATGGCCTGGATCGAAATGAATTTCGTTGAATGCAGATTGCGCGCGTTTGTTTCTGTAAATATCATCCCCAAAGGGCAGCTTCGCAAGTTGCGCGTGCAACAAGACGGACTTGCGCAGCTTAAACTTCCATCATCACCTTTTCACGGCTAATAGTTTGTTGGTCCTAAAAAGAGCTGCTGCAACAAGCCGCACGTACACCGCTTGCTGTGTTACATATTCGGCCATGCCATCCTGAAAGGGAGGGGCTTGAAGGCCTGGGGGAAGCACGGATCTGCATGGCACGGGCCGCAGACGGGCGGGTGAGCTGTCACTCAACGAATGGGAGGAGCGTGAGAGAAATGCAGAAGCTTTAGCAAGTGATTGCATGCGCCGCGAGAAGACCGCGTGTGCTGCATTTGGTGACAGGTCTACACTTGACGTTGCGCGGCGGAGGACTGTCGGTCCGCGGAGCATCCGAGGTCGTTCGGCGGTGGGCAAGGCGTGGCACAGTAAGTACTGAAATAGAACGGAGGACTGCATAGTTTACGTAGCGTATTAGTTTATGATGTTGCACGATTTCTGCAGTGCAACCGACAGGTCAGACGGCCTGCGAATCGCAGCTGCTCAGCCATACAGCACACAAAGGACAAAGGACAAAGCAAACGCTCTCGATCATGAAGACTCTTGACCGCATCCAACTCCTCAACTCCCGAAACCGCATGCCTATGTAGTCCAAAACGTACACCGTCCCGCAAGACCGGACTCAGAATTCGCGGCTCTCGCCAATCTCGCAGACGTCAAAGACGCCCTCCTCCGCGATGCCGCTGCGCGCCAGCGCCTTGCGCAGCAGCTTCGGCGGCTCCAGCACGTCCTCCATCGTCAGCGCCCATGTGCCCCAGTGGATGCCCATCGCCCTCTTGCACCGCGTGTCCTTGAAGATGTCCACGGCGTCGAACGGGTCGGCGTGCATCGCGGAGAAGGCGGCGCGCGGGAAGTACGCGCCGATGGGGACCAGCCCGAGGTCGAACGGTCCGCGCAGCGCGCCGATCTGCGCAAACTGCGGGCAGCGCGGCAGCGCCGCGTACTCGGCCGCGTGGTCGTCCGCGCCCGCGGGTAGGCCCCGCGGGACGCCCCGGTAGCCCGTGTCGCCGCCGAACCAGACCGACTTGCCGCCGGACGACACGGCCCAGCTGCACCACAGCGTCGTGTCCTTGTCGAGCAGCGTGCGCGCCGAGGTGTGCTGGCACGGTAGGCACGAGATGCGCGCCGTGATCGTGTCCGCGTCCGCGTCCGCACCGCTTCGACTCACCGCCGCCGCGGCGACATCGGTCCCGCTGCTGTTACCGCCGGTCCGCTTGACGGTCAGCTCGGCGTCGTGCCACCAGTCGAGCTCCGTGACCTTGTTCAGCCCGCTGGCGCGGAACCAGGACTCGAGGCCGAGGCCGACGAAGAACTGCGCCTCGGGCTGGTGCTTCTGGATCTCGAGCACGGAGGAGTGAGAGAGGTGGTCGTAGTGGCTGTGGCTGATGACGACGGCGTCGACGGTGGGGAGGTCGGCGAGGTCGCAGGGCTTCGGGGTGTAGCGGCGCGGGCCGAGGAAGCGGAAGGGCGAGCAGCGGTCCTCGAAGACGGGGTCGAAGAGCACGCGCAGGCCGGACGGGTACTCGACGTAGTAGCAGGCGTGCCCGAGCCAGGTGGCGCGGAGCCGCGGCGAGGCCCGGCGGTGCGGGAGGAAGCGCGGCTTGACGACGTTGACGGTCGGCGGGGTGGTGTCAGGTGAGGAGATTCGGCCGGTGATCATGGGCCTTTGTAGATCGCGTGGGGAGGTTAGCCAGTGCAATTGGGAGGGGGTCGCATCGGGCGGCTGGGCGCGTTTACTCACCAGAGGAGCTCGTGAAATAGGCGCGAGGGCTCATTAAGGTTATACCAGGATGGGTATGGGTTCTTGAAGCCGGTGAGCTTGCCGCTCTTGTTGGTGACGTGGTGCGGGTTGGAGATGGCCTCGTCGGGGATGGCCTTGACCTCGGTCAGCTTGGTGACCGAAGTGGTCCATGTCTCGTCAGCCATGGGTCGCGGGTTGTGCTGAGGATGTAGGTTGTTTCTAGGAGTGAGGCCAATGACGGCTAGTGACAGAGTCTGGAGGAAGAGAAGATTGAATGTGAATGTGTAGATGAAGATGAGCGGGGGGGGGACAGTAAGATCAAGGTTTATTAGGCAATTGAATTGGGGACGGAGTCGGATGTCCCAGTGAAGTGGTGGCTAGGCAAGCTAATGATGACGGCGCCGTTGACGAATCTGACGGGCTATGTATGGCTGATGAATGCGACAATGGGTCGGGAGATAGTTTGGGGAGCGGAGTTTGTTGTGCCGGCGTAAGTTGAAGTTGAAAATACCTGGGTGAAGAGAGCTGTAAAGCCAACTGCCTTCGGAGTTAATTGCTGTATCTTGAGCTTGCCGCAGAGTCCGCATCCCAGCCTTGCGGACCGGGATAGAGTAGAGTAGCTGATCGCGTGGTCTAGCCGGCTGTATGTTAACTCCGTGCCCGAGCCCCAGCAATTTGTCTGGGGCGGCTACCGACCCTTCTGATATTGTTGGTCTGACGACGCGCATTGTTATCGATTATTTGAGGCTTGTAAGCTGGAATGGCTTCAAAAAATCTACACCTGGCGAGAAACTGCTGTTTTGCTGCCGTACAACTGGTGACGCTGAGGGAGGATGCCATAGATACGAGACGCAGCGGGATCTAAGCAGCCGAGTCCGTTTTATGTCTCTCTTTGCTTCAAAACGAACACCATGGTTAGTAAAAACATTCAGTGTTACATGTCCCAATTGGCCCATGCAGGCAACTCGAATAGCGTTGTCGGCCTGATCTAGCTGCGCATGTGATCGAGGTGGTGTTCCAGGGTATCGTGTATTTCGACTATCCGATAATAGATTTCATTACTCCGATTCCGCAGAAGATTTTCCATTTTAATTTTATATCTCTCTCCTCAGGACCCAAGTTCCCAGCATCCTTCTCACGGTGTCCTTTTCACCAGACACGTTTTGCCATCCATTCGTCATCCGCAAAGCCATAGGCTACCCGCAGTCATCGGGACGCTATTTCGAAAGCTCACGCGTGAACATGTGACAACCCGACCGATGCTTCGTTTAGATGGCCAGGCGCTCGACCTTGTCGCGGAGGGCCTTGATCTGGCCCGCCAGCTCGCTCGCCTCGTTCGAGTTGATCGACGCCGCAATGACCGAGCGGCTGACGCCGCACGCGCGGCCGAGCAGCGACTTGCTGGGCACGTACACGTACGGCGTGCCCTTGTCCTCGCACAGCAGCGGGATGTGCAGCAGGATGGCCAGCGGCTCCGTGTCGGCGGCCAGGATGGCGATCTCGCAGGTGCCGCGGTTCAGCGCCTTGGTCACCTCGTTGGCGCCCTTCTTGGACTGTCGGATGTGAGTGGCAGACTGCAGGAGGTCGAGGATCTCCTGGGTCAGCGCGGCGTCGGCCAGAGGCCAGGCTGCAGATTTTGTTAGATGCTACTCATTCTCTTTTTTTTTTTGGTGGGGGATTAGGCAACATACCGACGTTCTCCTCAGACATTTTCACGAGGTTGGGAGGGAGAAAAAAAAGGTAGATAAAGGGGGGGTTCCTTGGTAAGAGGCTCGCCCGAAAAAGGTTCACTGCCGTTTGGGAGGAAGAGAGGGAGAAGGCGGATGCCGAAATTTGGTGATGATTGAATTGGCAGAAGTCAAGAACAGCAACGAGAAGAAAAAAAAACCCAGACCCCATTTGTCAAAAAGTGTAAAGCCCCACTCCACTACCTGATCGCCATTGGCCAGACTTCTTACCGCTTTGCGCTTAGCGTTGATTGGTCTATCTGGTGTAAAAAGATGGGTCATCCATCCCATTTCCTCTTCCGGCTGGTCGTCAGATCGCGAAGCGGTCGAAATTGCTTGTAAAGTAAGAGGAGTAAATGAGTGCTTGAAAAGTGTAATGTCAACAAAAGTATATATGCTTTGCCTCATCAATCATGAAAGAATCGCAGCCCCATAAATCCTTCGCTATGTGCTCATTCAAGCATGAAAATCCACCAGACATAACTCCTCCAGAAGCGCCACCCATCATGCTCGCTTTCAAACAAAAACCAGTCTTCCATCCATTTATAGATCCATCGCTTGGGTATCATCTCTCACATCTTCCACACCAAGCTCCTTCTCCAGCTCATCCGCCACGAACCCTTCGTAATCGTCCAGGTTCTTTTGAACGTGAAGCTTGAACCTGATTACATCGGTCAGCATACGGTCAATTTCCGTATGCAGCTCCTCGCGCAGTGAATTTGCTCTAAGCACCAACTGCTCGTATCTGAAAATCAACCGTTAGCACACTGCCCAAGAACTGGTTGTCTTGCCAAACTCACTCGATAGTCGTATTTATCTCGCGCTGCTCCAGAAGCTGCACGGACTCGGTAAGACCGGCCCGCATCCGCGCAAGATCCCTCTCCATCCTCTCAATCTGAGCATCCGAAGTCATCTTCTGAGTCCCCGTTGACTCTCTGATGCTCTCGTACTCTGCTTCAGCGGCACGGACACGGTGGTTGAGAGTCTCCACTTCGCTTCGTTTGTCTTCAATGGCCTCCTTGATGCCATCCAGGAGATCGCGATCCTTGATCAAGTCGTTCATGAGTGTACTTCGACGTTCTGAAATTGCCTTGCGAAGAGATATAAATCCGTTGCGAGCTTGTCCACGCAAGTCGACATTGACAATGTCGCTGGGTCGATATCCGTTATTCGCATCTGCTAGCAGTCGGTCGGTGGCTCCGGATTTCCCGTTGTTCATCCCATAGAAATTATTTGACGTGAAATCGGAGCTGTCGTTAACAGTGAGGCGGAGTTCGTAGTCTTTTCCTTTGGCGTTGGCTGCTGTCGATGGAAGAAGCGCGGTTTGATAGGCAAGCGAGTTGTACCTTTCCACCTGGTCTTCTAGATCGTCGAGCCGCTGGCTCGCTTCAGCTTCCTTGTCGGCCACCTTCTTCTTGATTTCCTCGAGTCGTTGGCTGGCGGATTCGATTCCTTTCTGCAGGCGCTCCTTCTCAGATGTCATGCGGTCAATATCCTGCATGCTGATACCCAATGCATCCACAGATTTTTGCAGGCCTCTCCGCTCCTCCTCCGCTTCTTTGAGCTCGTCGTTTAACTTCTCTAGCTCCTCTTGCAGAATCTGTATTCTTTTCTCGTATTTTTGAGAACGTTGGACGGCAAGGTGGTTGTAGTCTTCAAATTTGACCTTGTCCTCTTCCATGATCTTGAAGTGATCGTCTAAAATGGCAGGGTCCGGTGTGGACTTTTGCAGGTCTGCAATCTCCTTGAGAAGTCGCGCATTCTCTGCTTCGAGCATCTCTAGCTCCGACGTGTACCGGCCGTTGGAGCGATCAAAGGCTTGGGCCATAGATGCCACATGGGGTGCTAGCACCTTTTCTGCATCCTCGTCGCCAATATCCTCATCCATTGCCAGCCAGTCTCTGTACGCGCTGCTGAGAAAGTCGAAGATAATGTGGTCGCCCCTGACATCGACCCCGGCATCCATACATGCATAGTCGTAGCTTCGGGTCACATATCCGTCAAGCATCTGCGCAAGTTGCATCATCCAGTACAAAAGGCCCAAGAATGTAGACCAGTTTTGGCCACCAACAGCAGAAATTTGGCTCTTGGTAATACTCCTCTCAAAAGGGTACCGTAGCTGCTTTAAAATCGGAGGCACTTCCTGGTCAATATTCTTCTGAAACCGATGGCTCGGATCGATACGGTGATAAAGCCACTGGAACATGTAGTTGAAGTCTTTTTGCGTTGGCGACTTCATGACGTTGGGCGACAGGACATGCTTCATCTCGAGCTCAAAGTTATTTTGCGTCATGTACTCCATCAGTTCCTGTCCAATCCGCGCCTGAAATGCTCGGTCCTTGAGCGGTCGAGGGTCTTTTGGCACACCGGCAGGTTGATGTGTCGTTTGGAAGAAGCTTTGGTGGTGGTTTACCGGGCCGTTCATAGAGGGTCGCGCGCGAAATACGCTGCTTCGTCGCTCCGCGTCGGTCGACGTGCGCGCTGCAGCAGGCGTTCCCATGGCAGCGGCGTAAGCAGCCTTTGGCGCAAGAGACTGCCTCTTCACCGATGAGAGTCCAAGGTCTGCGAGGTTGGATCCGGACGAGGTTCGGGAAAAAAGCGGTTGACTGGGTCGCGACATAGCCAAGGACCCCCTTGAGCCTGACGGCGCCCGTACATGACCGCTGGCGTTGCGCTTCATGGTCGATCCGGGGGCGGGTATTCCTGTATTTGGGTTCAGCCCTCCGAGGGTCTACAAAATCACAAGTAAGCTTCGTTGCGATTGCGGCAAAATGCGAGTAGCTCATCGTACCTCACGCGGCCTGCGAACACTCCACAAGCCGGTGTCTTGAGACATGATATAATGTGTTGCTCAGCAGCAAAAATTATTTGTCGGCAAGCTCACAGCAGCCTTATAAGCCTATAATTGCGAGAATGCAGGTGGCAGGAGAATTTGTCGCAATTGTGAAAGGTCGGCTCTGAATGTGCAATGCGAATGTGTAATGCGAAATTGATGCATGGATAGCTTGTTGCTGGGCGAGAAAGTAAACAAAGGCGCCATTGCGCGCTTTGATTGGCGGGAGCGAAATCGCAGCGGGTCCAGCCAGAGGCACGCGCCACGAACGCACGTGACGTGGCTGGTGGGTTTTCCTCAGCCACCTATTCCGCCAACAGAGCTACCTCGGCACTGTCCGTCGGCCTTTGGCCGGAGCTCCACATTTACCGCACCCAGCACATGTTCCCTCGTCATTCCTTCTTCCCCAGCTTTCGCTTTCTCTTTGTCAAACCGGCCCATCCGCCAACTCGTCTTTCAACAGCTCAATTTGAAAGTGCTGAGTAGAAATGGCGATTCGCGAGGAACTCGTGGCCTCTGCGGTAAGTTCATCTTTCATGCGACCTCGCTGTATTGACTCAGGTTTGCTGACTGAAGCTTGTCGCAGGTCCAATGTATGTGGGATGAATCTCCAGCAGCCTCTCCACTCCGTTTGCACAGGCTGACTCTGTCGCAGTTCTACAGGACCCCAATGTCGCCAACTCTTCGATTGAAAACAAAGTCGGATTCCTGCGATCAAAAAACCTGACGCAGGAGGAGATTGATCATGCACTCGCTCGCACCGGCGCGGGTGCGTCGTCTGTCGTCCCAGCACCCTACCCACCACAAGGCTCTCCCCAACCATATTACCCCCCATACCAGCAACAGGCATGGCAACCGCAGCCTCCTCCTCGACGCGACTGGAGAGATTGGTTCATCATGGCCACGTTAGTTGGCGGGGTGAGCTACGGCGTCTACACCCTTGGCAAGGTAAGGTCATGCGCAGGGCTGCGATTTTTTGGTTCTCCAACTGACACTATTCTCAGCGCTATGTTTACCCTCTTATTGCTCCTCCCACACCAGAAAAGCTAGAGCAGGATAAAAAGTCGATTGAGGACCAGTTTGAGCGAGCCTTTACCCTGGTGGAGCAGCTTGCCAAGGACACCGAGGAGCTCAAGCAGACTGAGCAGCAGCGAACAGAGAAGCTCGATTCGGCTCTGGCGGAGCTTGAGACGGTCATGTCAGACCTCAAGACAGCGAACCGACGACGCGACGATGACGCGCAGCGCATCCGCGAAGACATCCAAGGCTTGAAGGACGCCATTCCGAAGGCCATGGAGAGCCAGAAGACCCAGGCCGATAACCGTCTGTACGAGATTAACACTGAACTGACGAGTCTCAAGACTCTGGTCTCTCAGCGTATGACCTCCGTAAACAGCTCGGCCGGTGGCTACTCGCGACCTGGGGCCTCGGCCACTCCCGCCGCCGCGTCGCCTGCCCCTGCCGCTACCACTCCTAAGCCCGCGACCGTCTCCGATCCAGCTACCACTAGCACCGAGACTGCTAGCAGCGCCAAAGCCCCAGAGCCTGCGAAGGCGGCTGAGGCTCCAAGAACGCTCTCCCAGAGTCCCTTCAACAAGGGCTCAGGCAAAGCATCTATCCCAGCCTGGCAAATGGCCATGTCTAACAAGAACGGCGCCGGCTCCTCCTCCGCCGCTAGCGGAAGCAACGGTGGCGAGGGGGCTTCTAGCAGCTCTTGAATGCACAATGTGCTTGGAGCTTGTACAATATGATACCTATACCAGGACATGGCAGAGGATTGCAAATCGGGCAGCTAATGTGTATTCAGCTTTTTGTTTCAATACAGTATTGGTCACGAAATGGGAATTGTTTTGGAAAACATATCGCTGATGGTTTGATGTGGTGCTATATAGTATTGTCGCTTTTGAGTGCTGATGTTTTCTAGCCTTTTGAGCTACCTGGGTAATTTGCGAAGCAAGACAACGGTTAAAATCTGCGTCTAGCAGGGACACAATTGCGGCATTAAAACATTGAGACTTGAATTCAACTCCAGTATCTCTAAGAAGGAAGTAGAATTAGTTAGTTACCATGCTTGCGACATTGAGCCGAGGCATGATGTCGTACGTTTTTGACTAGCTCAAGCCGGGTGGCGGGGGCCGAGATGATAGCCGCCTCCGCGATCCAGGGGTGAGTCGGCAATGTGGTCACCACTTCCTCCTTACAGTTCCGTCACGTTGATACGGTTGCATCTTTCTACCATTGTTTCCTAACCAAATTCCAACCTTTCACATGCAATAACCTGCACCTGAGTTACTCCTCGCCAAGCCATCTACATACACACTCGTCCCCTCAGCATCTTCCATCCAAAACTCGGGCCAGCGTTGAACACCCCCCGGTCCCCTCGCTGTCACTCGCCTGCCATGGTTCTGCAGGCCGACACCGATCCCGAGGTCACGCGGGCGCTCATCCAGTCGGCCAGGTCGCGGTACGCGCGGCACGCGATGCGCCGCATCCCCCTCGCCGCCTGGGTCGCCGCGCAGCACGCCCTCGGGCTGTCCGAGCAGTCGCGGCACGTCGACCTATGGACGCGCCTGGTCGTCGGCGTCGGGCAGTCCTTCTTCTCCGGCAGCGACGGGCCGACCTCCATCGCCGAGCTGCAGGCCATGACGCTGCGGCCGCGCGCCGTGCCCGACCAGACGTGGATCAGCCGGTACGCGTCGCCGCCGCCGCCGGAGTCGGGAGCGGCGGACGCGGTGATGCGCGCGGTGCGCGGCATGGTGCGCCTGGAGCCGGGCGTGGTCGTGAGGGAGCCCGGGTACGTCACGGTGGAGGCGGAGTGGACGGCGTACGCGGAGGGGGCGAGGCCGCTGAGGGAGGTCCCGGAGCGGGACAAGTACGCGCGGATGATGGCGGACGTGAGGGATCCGACGACGATCTTGTACCTGCATGGCGGCGGGTACTTGATGCTGGATCCAAAGTCACACCGGCCGTTTGTGAAGGAGTTGTGCAAGCGCACGGGGGGACGCGCCTACTCGGTGCGATATCGCCTCTCGCCGCAGGCAGTGTTTCCGGCGGCCTTGCTGGATGCATTTGTGTCCTACCTGACCTTGTTATATCCGCCGCCGGGTGCCTTTCATGAGCCCGTGAAACCAGAGCACATTGTTCTTGCTGGAGACAGGTACGTTCTTTCCCTTCTGCTTCCCATCCTTTACCTCGTTGTATCACTGATCACTGATTGACTAACCGCCTCAAAAAGTGCTGGAGGGAACCTGACCCTGTCGCTACTGCAGCTTCTCCTGGAGCTGGGACGGCAAGACGTCCGGGTCGCATGGCACGGCGCGGAGCGCGTCGTCCCCCTCCCCGCCGGCGCCGCCTGCAACTCGCCGTGGCTCGACGTCACGCACAGCCTGATCCCCTACGGCGGCGACCGGCCGCTCAAGTACGACGTGACCTCGCTCCCGGTTCCCGAGACGGGCTGGATGCCGCGCGTGCGTGCCGACCACATCTGGCCCGCCACCCCGCCGCGGCGCAACTTTTACGCCGACGACCACCTCGTCTCGCACCCGCTCGTGTCCGTGCTGGGCACGCGCGCGGCGGACTGGGCCGGCGCGCCGCCCGTGTACGTCTGCACCGGCTGGGAGCACCTGGGCACCGAGGCGCGAGTGTTTGCGCGGCGACTGGCGACCAGGGCGGGCGTCAAGGTGGTGCTGGACGAGTACGAGGCGATGCCGCACTGCTTCGCGCTGATCATGCCGACGACGGCGACGGCGAGGCATTGCTGGGACGGCTGGGCCGGGTTTGTGAGCGCGTGCGTGCGCGGGCCGGAGGGGATCAGGAGCAGGGCGAGGAGGATTAGGCCGAAGACGCTGGTGGAGGAGGAGGTGGACTTTGAAAAGGTGGTAGACTTGAGCGATGACGAGGCGCGGGCTATTTTCGACTCTCAGAACTCGCCGTTCAAAGTGGCACCTCGACTGTAATGATGTTATTGAATAGAACTTTGTACTGTATGCTCGCCGGCATGATGTTGCTCACAGTGTTTGGCCTTTGCTGGGGGAAGACAAGGGTGTGGGTGTGTCTTGGTGCGAGGCCAAGTTTTTGTGCAAACAAAGAAGGCTACTTTTGCATCGACACCTCACATTCGTCATAAACCTCCGCGGACAATCGATTCGAAGCTATGAATTTTTAGATCTGTACATCTCGAAGTGGCAACAATCCATACGCCAAGCCAGAGGACGACCTTGAGGTGCAAACGGCATGGCTTTTGACGTCCAACAACGACAACCACAGCCTCCCGCGACAGGAAACAACGTCATCAGCCATGACGTCCCACCCTGGGTGCACTTTGCTGCTGGCGCGTAAGCTTCCTGGAAACCACCATTTCCATCTTCGCGCCTACTTGCTGACCGACATCCCTTGTCCTCGCTCAGATCCGGCGGCCTGATCAACGCCACCATCACCTCCCCTCTCGACGTGCTCCGGACGCGCATGCAGTCCGACCTGTACCCGACACCCTCCTCCCGACCACCGCCGCACACCCCCCTCATCCTCCGCCCCGTATACGACACCTTTGCCGCGATCGGCGCCATGCGCCGCGCCGAGGGCCTGCGCGGCCTCTTCCGCGGGCTGATGCCCAGCCTCGCCGGCGTGGTGCCCGCGCAGGCCGTCAAGTTCTACGTCTACGGCAACTGCAAGCGGTTCGGCACGCGGCTGCTCGGACGCGCCGAGGGCGACGTGCTTGTGCACGCGCAGGCGGCCGTGGCGGCGGGCCTGGCGACGGCGACGGCGACGAACCCGATCTGGCTCATCAAGACGCGGCTGCAGCTGGATGACCGGCGGTATGGGGGCGTGCTGGACTGCGTAAGGCAGGTGCTGAGGCGGGAGGGCGTGGCAGGGATGTACAAGGGCTTGAGCGCGAGCTACCTAGGTGCGCTGGAGACGGTGGTGCACCTGGTGCTGTATGAGCGTCTCAAGACGGCGCTTCGCGGGGAGGAGAGCGGCGGCGAGCTGGCTCACTGGGCCGGCACGGCGGGTGCGGCTGGCGGCGCCAAGGTGGTCGCGGTGCTCATCGCCTATCCTCACGAGGTATGCAAAGAGATTGGCAGAGGAGGATGTAAGGTAGCCGATCGAGCAAGTACGCTGACTGAATGACTTCCTACCAATAGGTGATCCGCACACGATTGCGTCAAGCACCGATGGGGAGCGTTGGTAGCGTACAACAAACGACCCTCGTCCAGTGCTGCCGGACCACCTGGGCGCGAGAGGGCTGGCGCGGCTTTTATGCTGGTCTGACGCCGCACCTGGTGAGGTCCATACCCTCGGCCGTCATCACGTTTGGAGTATATGAGTTTGTCCTGAGGCTGGCTGGGGCACGCTCGTGACAGGGCATGGCGCCGTCCTAGGCTATGTAGGTGCGTCGACCGAGGCACCCGGAACCTCAAATTGCTCGATTGCCGAGTTTGTGAGATCTTGGAATATTGTGTAAGATAGGCCGGCATGGCGGGCAACAGGACAACTACAGAATACTCACCACTCATCAAGACGTTTACAGGCACTCAAAGCCCCCCCAAGCTACACGGCCACCGCCCCCGAGAGACGGAATTTGACGCAAGCGAGGTTCATCAAAGAAGGATGTACTACATACCGACCATCCATGGATAAGTTGGCCTTGGGTGTAAGTTGTCCGCTTGAGGTGCGGTATTGGGGTCCAGGTCTGGTCGTTGAATAGACATGTGCCATCTGGTGGCGGATCAACTCCCACGGCCCCATACTTGCTCAACCAGAAGAGTAATATCTGCAGGACCGCGCCATTTCGACGATCGAGACCGCAAAGGCCAAATAGACTGCGGTTGGCCTTGGTGGCAAAACACCACCGCAGGCGTGGCGAGAAACTCAACCACCTCAGCCGTCTTTAATGCGTGCGTTACTTCGCATCTTGGCTTGCAGTCGGTCCAAGCCAATATATGCAGCAGATCTCTAGCCACGGTCTGCCCGCACCGGAGCGGGCCGCGTCTGTTCCGATCAGACCGCTGCAGAGTGCCAAGGGGCAATGGCCGGCTGAAGAAGTTGCACTACAGACAGCATGCAAGCGCTGACCAAAGCGGTATACCGCCTATGCACACATTAGCTGATCGAGTGACATGGGATTATACGGTCGACATGGTCTACCCGAGTCACTTCACTGCCGGACGTAAAAGCACGAGTGCCAGTTGGCCTCGGCTTTAAGAACTTTGAAAGCCTTGCCAATGAGCAGCAGCAAGGACTAAGCCCAGGGATTACTGCCATGACCCCTTCTAACCAGGCGACCCCGTGTCCTCATACGGCCATGCCATGACGCATAAGCATGAGTACAATCTGGAGGCCCGTACTTCCCTAGTCCCGTCAAAGTTTCCCATTCCGGGAGACTTTCGATGCCAAAGGTCTCAAGATTTCGCTAATAAGGAGAGACATTGCTTACATCTGAGGTTCGAGATCCGTTGGTGCAGCATGCCACGGGACGGCATCCGAGACAAGTGTAAGATCCACAGCAGTTGCCTGCACAACCAACTTCGTCCAACAAGACATGCTTTACTAAGTCGCACCGTTGAATACCAGGGAATAGATTGGGCTGGAATTTTGCGAGATGAATTGTGTTCCCTCCAAGACTTCAGCATTCGCACATCATGTCGTCTCCCTCATGCATGCTGGAGGCAGCCACCGCACCGCACCGCCCCGACCAGCCGCCACCGGCCTGTGCATATCCCGCTCTGCATCCAGTATGTGTACCCCGATAGCTGCCTTACCGCCTTCAGTAAGCTGCAACTCGGATAGGAATTGGGTACACACACGGAGTCTTTCAGCAAAATGGCCTTGCCAAGGATGCGCAGACAGGCCCGCCATGCCCAATTGGAACGCATTCTAAGCAAAAAGCGGAAGTGATGGGGAGATCGGATAACCGTCAAATATTGGTTTACCGTACAGGTGACACAGCATGTTGAAGAAACAGGGGTAAAACATTGAGTCCGATGGGGTGATGTGGCTGTCGATGAATGACTATAAGGACAACAGGCTGCTGAGACGGTCAAGAGCTTATTTTCGTACACCACACAACTCTTCCTATATTTACTTGACAAGCTCAACTAAATCCTTTTTCTGAGACCTTTGAGATGAAGTTTTCCTTCTTCACCATCATCGCCGCCTCCGCCTCCCTCGCCGGCCCGGCCAGCGCGCGGTGCGACGCCCCCGAGGCCGAGCGCCGCATCTGCTACAACGAGACCGGCGGGACGCCGCAGGACATCGTCCCGCGGGACGTCCTCCGCGCCGCCGACTACCTACGCAAATACGGCTCCGATCCCGCGCACGCCTTCTACACCATGCCGCTGCCAGCGGCCGACCGGTGCGCCGAGTGGGACGTGACCACCTACCGCAGCGTGCGCGTGCTGGCCAAGCTGCACGGGCAGCGCGCCGCCAAGGTCACGTTTGACGACATTGCGGACACGCTCGACGGGCACCGCGGCCGCGGCCGCAGGAAGCAGACGGAGGCGGCGCTCTGGGGCTGCGGGAGCAACGGCGGCCAGATGGCGGTGCAGGTCAACGCGAGCGATCCCCGCTACGGCGCGGAGGAGTTCAAGGACGGCTCGTTTACGAACAAGGGCATCCTGATAAAGGTGGTGCGTAACGTCGAGGCGGCGGAGGAGGAGAAGGACGAGTTTGAGATGGAGGAGATTTAGTCCCGCCGAGCTGAGACATCTTGGGAGCTGCTCGATAGTTGCTTGCTCTGATTATGGTTTGATAGCTAAAGATGATGAAAAATACTTGTGCTCACCCAAAAACTTTTCAGTAAAAGTTGACCGAGTTACTGCCTGGTGTTGGTTCACAGGCAGACAGACCTATTAGTGCGCCCTAGAGATAGGCGAGACCATCTATACAGTTTTAAGCTTGCTTCTGCTTGTGCTGCTACTGCTTTTGCTAATTCAATATTTAACGCTAGTGAGATCTAACGAAAGGTTAAAAGGCGCTGGTTGGGTGTCGGCATGCCTTTAGTATCATCAGTCTTGTACGATGCCTTGCATAGTTTGGGCCACACAAGAACGGCGGCAAGTCTATTTGGTTTGTGAGTATATATATATATATATTTCCTTTTTAAAAATCTTTTATTCTTTTGCGTGATCAAAGCCTAAGGTGGTAGCTACACGTGTGCATTTCGTTTGATTATTATAATTTCTATATTTATCCCATTCATACCGAGGCGCTTCATCGCTTGCCATCTTACTTACTCCCTGCCCAGTCCCCCCTCTGCGCAGACACAGCTACCCCCCTCTCACAATGACCATTCCCATACAAGAATCGTTCGACTCGGGACGCGCACAGTACCGGCAAGCGGACGTCATCGTCGTCGGCGCAGGAATATTCGGCTCTGCCGCAGCCGTCGCCCTCTCCCGCCAAGGCCGCTCCGTCCTGCTCCTCGAACGCTCCCTCACGCCGCCGGACCGCATCGTCGGCGAGCTGCTGCCGCCCGGCGGCGTCCAGGCCCTGCAGGAGCTCGGCCTGGGTCACTGCCTGGACGGCATCGACAGCGTCCCCGTCCAGGGCCACCACGTCCGCCACCGCGACGAGGTCGTCACCGTCGCCTACCCCGAGAGCACCGAGGGCCGCTCGTTCCACCGCGGCCGCTTCGTCCAGCGGCTGCGACGAGCGGCCTCGGAGGAGCCCGGCGTCACGCTCGTCGAAACGCTGGTCACCGGGCTGATCACGGTCGACCACGCCGACCAGGTGCTCGGCGTCACCTCGCTGACCGACGGCGAGCCGGACTGCTTCTTCGCGCCCCTAACCATCATCGCGAACAGCAAGCTCCGCACCGCAGCGGCGTCGTCGTCGTCGTCGTCGTCGTCGTCGTCAAAAAAGATCGTACAGTCTCGCTCGCGGTTCTGGGCGCTCGAGCTGCCAGACACCGCGCTGCCATCGCCGGGCTTCGGCCACGTCCTGCTCGGCGACGCCCCCGTGCTGCTGTGCCAGATCGGGGCGCGGGAGGCGAGCGCCCTCGTACAAGTCCCCAAGGGTCTCGAGGAGGTCGACGGAGGTGCGGCCGGCTACGTCCGGCGCAGGATCGTGCCGGGCCTGCCGGCGTGCGTCCGGCCAGCGTTCCTCGCCGGCCTGGAGGCGGGCCGCCTCCGCTGCCTGCAGAACTCGTTGCTCCCGGCGGCGTCGAACCGCACGCCGGGCCTGCTGGTCGCGGGGGACGCGCCCAGGATGCGACACTCGCTCACCGGGGGCGGCGTGACCGCTGCCCTGAACGACGTCGTGCTGCTGGGCGAGCTGCTCGACCCGTCCAGGACGCCCGACTTTGACAATGTCGGCCTGCTCCTCCAGCAATTCGCGGAATTTCACTGGCGGCGAAGATGCCGCAGCTTTGGCATCAATGTCCTGACGCAGACACTGTACTCCTTGTTTGCCGCGGAGGACGACTACTACCTGACGCTCCTCCGGCAAGGTTGCCTCGAGTACCTGAAGCGCGGTGGAATCTGCGTGGATGGCCCGGCCGGCATCACCAAGAACCCTTTCGACCTGCTGTGGCACTTCTTTGCGGTGGTATTGTTTTCAATCTGGGGCCTGTTCCTCTCCAAGCCGACCTGGAAGCTTCCGGTCACTTTGGTGGATTCTGTAGGCATCCTGTTACGAGCATGCTTGGTATTGGTTATGTGTATTTTCTATGAGCTCGCTGGATGACGGCACCGTCAGGCTATGAAAGCCACGGTTTATTGTGCTTTGTATTGACACACGAGGGTAGCTCAAGGGAGTTGAAGAAGAAATTTAGTCTTTATTATTATCCATGTTCTCCTTGTTATCATGTCCGAGGCGATTCGCGATCCATCTTCAAAGATTCTAATAGTAGGAAGCACAATATCAAGGCACATGAAGAGCACATCGACTGCAAAATGTCGCCGTGGCACCCCATAAACACATTATATAATTCCGTCGTCTATTTACAGCTCCATTCAGCGAGGCCGCACTCGCACACCAACTTTTACGTTGTGGAATATCCAGTCTATAAATACAGCAAATACACTCATCTAGTACATCTATCTAGTCAGACAGGCCGCCGCTTTACTTCTTCTCTCCCTTGTACTTCCACTCCGCTCGTCTGTGCAGATGATAATCCCCGCTCTGAATCGCCTTCCAGATCCCGTACAACCCGCCCACCGGCCACTTCCCCTTGAGCGACTGCCTCGTCTCCTGCCTCTTTCGCCGATTCGCCTCCACGTCGATGCGCACCTTGTCGTACACCGTCGGCAGCGTCGTCGCCGCGTACTTTTCCCGCAGCGCCGTGTACCACGGCTTGTCGTACACCTTCCAAAAGTCCTCCTCGTCGTAGTACGTGTGCGCGTACAGCCACTTGCGCCCGCCCAGCGCCTGCAGCTTCACCTCGAGGTCGCGGTTCTTGTCCACGAACTCTTCAAAGTCGGCGGGGCCCCAGCCCCAGAGGCCAATGTTGAGCATCGGCGCCATCTGCTGCTGCGGCTCGGCGCCAGCCTCGGCGGAGGGGGCGCCGGCGCCGGCGGTGCCGACGGGCTCGGTGAGGCCGGTGTGCGGGTGAAAGGTCGGCTGCTGGGTGGGCTTGAGCGGGCACAGCCAGAGCGGCCAGATGTTGAACTTGTCGGCGGTGTAGTCGATGAACGCCTCAGCGTTGTGGTAGGGGAGGCCGAGGTCCTGGACGACGAAGCGGGCCGACTCGCCGCTGGCGTGCAGCGCGCGGTACATCATGCGCGTGTGGATGAAGTCGTCGAGGAACCAGCGCGTCCACCGGTTGAAGGGCACGAGCTTGAAGTAGGTCCAGCCCTGCGCGCCGACCCAGAAGCCGGCGCGGTCGTAGCGGAAGAGGTACTCGGCCAGCGGGACGTAGTCGGTGAACGAGGTCGCCGTCCCGCTGGCGCCGACGGTGCCGGCCGAGGGCAGCGCCTTGGTGCGGTCGCGCGCGTGCAAGTAGAACCAGGGGTCGAGCGCCCGGCTAAAAGTCTGCGGCTTGCGGCCCTCCGGCAGCTCATCCGTCATGCGGCCCGTCACCACCACGCCGTGGTCCTTGCCGAACAAGATGCCATCCACGTAGTCGTTCTCCGGGTCCTCCGTCTCCGCGCGCACCCTCGCCACCGCCTCCGCCACCGAGCTCGTCCTGTGATACGTCGTCCTCACATACCTGCGCGCCTCCACCAGCCGCAGCTCCATCAGCGTCGTCACGCCCAGCGTGCCGACCGCGCCCGCCGCGCCGCGGAACAGGTCCGCGCGCTCCTTGCGCGACGCGCGCACCACCTCCCCGTCCCCCAGCACCATCTCGACGTAGTTGACCGTCTCGTCAAAGAAGCCGTGGCGGAAGGAGGAGCTCTCGCCGGCGGTGCCCGCGTAGCCGCCGCCGGCGGTGATGCCGGGAAACTCCATGACGACGGGGGGGACGAGGCCGTGCGGGAGGGTGGCCTCGACGAGGCGGTCCATGGGCACGTTGGGCTCGACGAGGGCGGTGCGGGCGGCGCGGTCGACGGAGAGCACGTTGCGCAGGGCGCTGATGTCGACGACGCCGGCCTGGCCAGGGCCGGGGCGCGGCCGCGTGCTGTTGGTCGAGCCGTGGAAGATGCGGTAGGACTCGCGCCGGTCGAAGAAGCCGCGGACGGCGGCGGCGATCTTGGAGACGGCCTGCTTGTGGCGCTCCATGACGGTCGATCGGTGGAAGGGGGAGGAGACCGTCGTGTCACGGGGGGTCCAATTGGCGAGGTTCGGGTTACAATGGATGTAGGTTGTAGTTTTGATGAAGCTCCGTGAAGCGGCTCTTTTTTTCCTTGCCTGGCGGGCGGAAGCTAGGGGCGGATACGTCCTAATCGTGGTGGAGCTCAGTTGCCGCCCCGTCTCACAAGCTACAGGCACGAATATGTACAGTACGTACTAATACCCTATAACTACGAGTACAGTGTTTCAGTGGCTGTTGGATAAAATAAACAACTGCATTCATAAAGCAATTTTGTTTTATATAACTGTTAATGTGAAATGAAAGAAGACGCAATTGCTACCACGGCTGGGTCTGTCTTTTGGTACTTCTCTACCAGAGTTAAAGAGCAAGGTGCGAATAACCGGAAATAGTGGCGCTAAGGTGCGTATTGTCTTAACGGATCCATTTGCACAATGATACATACATACAGTACATATCTCGACTGGTTCCACGTGCTTGCTCGGCACTAATCGTTCCAGCCGACTTTTGCATTCTACATCGTGATTTTACGAGCTTCCTACAAGTAAATTACAGTTTACATTACACATACAATAATTCATCGCATCTACGTCTTTTTGGTTCTTTCCAGTTGCTGCTCCCAAGCTGGCATAGCCCACTTGACCGTGTACTCTGACCTCATCAGCTGTTCGGCCGTTGGCCGCTCCAAAGGCTCCCATACCAGCGTGTGCCGTAGCAGCTCCTCAACGCCCGCATCGCACCCCCTTCAACATCCCATTCGCAAGTCTCAGCCGTCGTGCCCCGTCCCATGTCCCACATGCGCTGATGCAACGGTCGGAAACCAGGGTTGTAGAGTCTTTCGAGATCATGCATCGAGGAGCCCTCTGGCTTCAGAAGCCCCCTTCGATTTAGCCAGCTATGCCACCAACGCGCGGGTGGCCGCCCCAGGGTATTCATCACGTCTGCCATAATGCAATCTCGGTCGCTAGTGAAAGATTCAAAGAGGCAACTTTCGCCCAAAACTTCATATAGGCTAACGCCGAGTGTCCATATGTCCGCCGCCAATGTGGTGGGCTCCCAAAAGAAATCTTCAGGGGGTAGGAAGAGTAGGTGGCGTGCGCAGCTCAGGAGAGGGCTCGGTAGCCAACATGAAAGATGTTCCGTAGTCGGATACAGCAATGATCGGATCTATCAGTTTATCAGCGGCCATCATCACGTGCATTGGATAAACGGCAGATGGTGGCGCGCGGGTTCAACAGCAGCGTTGTCAACTTGCTTGATAGGGGATTCATATAAGCGGTATTTCTCGCGGAGGATATCAGGCCTAGTTTCGCCGAGGTGTGGATCGCGAAATAGAATATTTCTCAGTTGCAAGTCTGGATCTAGTGAGCAACACTGGGCGAGCAGAAAGACTCCAGGTCCTCAACCTACCTCCATGGCATATGCCTCGCGAGTGCAGATATGCCACACCCATAATCAGCTGAGCTGCAATGGACCTGGCGGTGTCCGTCGGAAACATGGGGTTTGAAGAGTCATCTTTGGATGCAGCGACGCTGGAGCTGGCCGCTTCTTGTACAAGACATGCATGTATTCCGTTTGGACCTTCGATAGAAAATGTATCCAATAAACGGGGGATGAACTGCTTCCCTGGATGCGATGAATCGAGGTTCTGAAGTTGGTCAAGTATCTTTGCTTCCGTATTTTGCGGCGTTTCGCTTGCAACAATGACCTTTAGTGCGACATAGCGATCCAACATGTTGTCGCGGGCCAGCCAAATTGTAGAATAGCCGCCAAAGCCAAGCTTGTGGGCAACCTTGTATCGGCCTTTTTGGAAAGTGTCCCCATTAATAAGGACTGGATGGTAGCCGCCGATAGTGTAGTTCTCAAAATCTTCCAGGTCCACTTCAGGGATGTAAATAGCCTTGCGCTGTCGAGATGTTATGTCGGCCATGCCATGATAATATTGAAGGTATGGCCGTCGCAGAAACGGTCTTCGTAGGCAGCTAGTCGGCCGTCTCGCAGACGTACCAACCTGGCCCCAAAGAAGTCTCATGGTTGATGCGGCCCTGTTAAGCCTCCGCCTCCAAATTGGCCCCGGGGGTCATGATATCGCGTACCCGTTTTTTGGTGGGCGTCCGAAACCGCGTCAGGGAACGTGGGTAGGTTAGAGGTATAGAGCGACCATGGGAGAGAGCGCTCGGGCGTGACGAGCGTCAAGGAGGAAGCAATCGTGCTCGTGGCCCACGTTTCCCGGCGGGAATGGTAGTCGGAAGCAGCGAGAGTTGGAAACCTGAGGTTTGGATGAGGTTGGAGGATTTACAGGGTCTGGCGGGACGCGCTGGATACGGTGGAGCATCGTTTGTGGGCAGCCGGTTCCCCGTCAATCAATCTTAAACTTGGTCCCCTTAAAATTAGTAAGTTGGTCTTGAGATGATACGCTGGAGAGCTGATGTCTCTCAGGAATCAAGAAAACTTGCCCACTCCCAGTCGGTCGGGTAGGCAACAATAGCAACGGGGAGAGGGCCTCTGTTAGCTAAATATGCAATAAGGCGGGATGAGATGAAACACTTTGTAGGACAAACGAAAAAGCTAGGGCCAACCAACACTCTTCTCCTGGACTGACAGCTGTTGGCACTTCACGACATGCTCCCTTGGGAGTATCATCGAAAAAAGCATTGAGCTCCTGCATTCTGACTCGAAACCCACTGCCTGCTTTCAGTATTATATGACCACTATCATAATTTGCAATGGCATCTCAATATTTTGTATATTCTCTTAATGACAGCATCGAGTCATTCTTCCATGACTTCACAGATGCAACGCGGCAGGAGTGTGACCATCTCGCCCAACGCCTCGTCGGGCCACCTCTCGAACCAGTTCCTATCCAAGGCCACTTCAGCTACACTGTTGCCGCTGGCGACCCTGAGAACCGCAAGATTGTGCAATTCCGAGCAGGCGTGTCGAAGCTGGACATGGATACCATGAGACTTGCAAAACAAGCCCACCCGCGACTGGTACCAACCTGCACGGAACATGGGACAATTGGCCTGTCACGGCCGCTGTCAGTCTATGAGATGGACATCGTGCGCGGAAGCACTTGCACAACTACTCGAGAACTTGACCCGCGAAAGACGGTCGGGTCCTTGGCCGGGTATGCTCAGCCCCCTACCCATACATCTCTGCTACTACCAAGTTCTAGTACTTATATTTGCCAGCTATTTTGCCGAGTCTTGGATCAAGAGGCAACCGATGCACAGTCCAGGAGACGTTCAGCGCGAGTATGCTGAAAACCTCCGACTCTTACGTGCTTCGTTGCCTGCTCGCTTCTCCAAAGTCGTAGGCCAAGCACACTCCCAGCTTTGGATGCTCTTCTCGCCCTCGTATCCCTCCGCGCTGGTCCACGACGACCTCACCGGATTGAACATGCTCGTAGGCGACGACGGGCGCATCACAGGGGTCGTCGACTGGGCAGATGCTCGGGTCCTTCCTTTTGGCAAGTCTTTGTATGCGCTTGAAAACGCGCTGGGGTCCATGGGCCCCAAGGGCTGGCACTACTCCGACGACCGCGTTGTGCTCGAGGCGCTGTTCTGGCAGACATTCCACCGCGCCATCGGGGACGCAACGCAGGAAGAAAAGGACGCGATTCAGGCATCTAGGGAGATTGGCATTCTGTTCCAGTATGGGTTTATTTGGGAGGAAGGGGTTCGTCGGCCAACTAGAGAAGGAGACTCCACGATGAGGTATCTGGATGCTTTCCTCACCGATGGCTAATAATAATAAACCCTGCTAGGCGCTGTGTGGAGCAAAAAAGAAACGGTCGAGTGAGTTATAATAGGGCTACTTTTATGAAGAGATGGATAAAGAATTTTAGTCTCGATTGCCGGGCAAGTGAGGGTAGGGGACGTTCTGGTGGGCTCTGGCCACGGCGGTCCGGGATCGTGATGTCTCACTTTCGCCTCACCCTTCCTGCATAAGCGTTGGGTTAATATAGTTAATCTGGAGGTAATAACTGAAGTGCTCATTACCGGTGTGATTTTTCTTTTTTTTGGTCTTGGCGTGAGAACCACACAAGAAAAAAAAAAGAAACGGTCTCATTCGGCATGTGAACGGAACAGTGTCGATCTGACAGCACATCCGTTCCGTTCCCTGCACCACCGCATTGCTTCCGTCCTGCTTACTTGGCATATTCATGCATAAATGCACATCCCGCCCGCAACTACCGCGTATAAGAAACTCGTTAATTTATTGACGAGGGTGGTATTAGGCGACGCATGCCGGCAAGTGGGTGGCGATGCCGCTGGTGTCAAGTACACGCCGACGCGATATAGCAGCTTCATTTGCACCGCTCGGCATATTCTGAAACTTGATATGCAGACCGGCATGCCGATACCTTGTAGTCAAGATGATGAAATTCTGCGGTACCCTCGAGCGATCTTGATGCCCGAATTATCTGACGGCTGCGTAGACGGTCGCGAGTTGATGAGTTACTGATCAGCTACCCGATCCGCAACAACCAGCATCACAGACAGACGCGGATTTGCGACGAATGAAATGCTTGCAACAGCAGGAAACACGTTTTCGCATCATTCAAGTGTGGCAAAAGCAAACGCAAAGGAGAGACATGCCTAGCTTTCTCATCAGTTTGCAGCGGGATTGCCGGTTGTTGTTGTGGTTGAGGGTGGCCATCACGTCAGCTTGCAGCTGCAGCATCAACGGATTGCTTCACGGGATGTATACGCAGGGACGGCATGTGAGACCGCAAAGATGCACACTCAAAAAGCAAACACTGCTCGGTTTACGAGAAGATGAGGTGATATTTGCGTCTTGAGTTTCAAAGCCCTACTACCGAGCGCATCTCCGGTCACGAGTCCGCAACGCGAGTGTCGTACGAGCCAGAGCATGATCTAGACAATCTCATCCTGCTTGTCCGAGCCGACGACCCCATTCTGAGTCCTTCGTGTATGATACTAACCTACGTCGATCAGGACGGTACCCAACGCTACGAAGCTTGTGGACATCGGCATGTAATGGAGGTCTGATGTTACGCCGGCCAGGGTGGCCAAGTAGACGGAACCGTGGCAAAATGCAGCCCCTATGCATAGTAGCCGACCAGCAGTAAGAGCCTTAACTTGGTCAATAGCCATTATATAGATGAGAATCTGAAAGGCAAAAAAAGAAAAAGGTAAACTGGAATGGAGACTAGTTGCATGCGTCTTGCGGTGCCGTGAGGGTCCCGGCAAGACTGCAACTCTCGGTTCCGCGTCTGGGCGAATGGAGAAGCAGGCGCAGCAAGACGACAAAGGCCGACAGAGCTGAACATGATGCGTAGGCCCGTTTATTCCCTTTTTTCTTGCAATGCAAGATGGCATCCGAGGAATCGATAGGCCAAAATGTCTGTTCTCGGGGGAGTGGCTTCGAGGAAAACGAGGGGCCGGTCCAGACTGGTCCATCCACATCATCCATCGTACGGCTCGCCCGCCGCCACTGTCCCGGACGTTGCATGCCGGCATTTTTGTGTGCTGTAGTGGTCGAGCAGTGACGCTTCGAAAGCTAAATTCGCCTGGGCTTCATTGGTGCGATTTCGCCAGAAGCCGTGGCGGTGGCAGCAACCCTAGAAATCGAGACAACTCAAACTATTGAGTTGGTGTGCTTGTAAAGAGAATTCAACAAAGTAAACTTTCAAAGATAACCTACAAAGTGCCAAGATATGCTTCCATGTTGACTTGATCAACAAGACGGTATGCAGCTGGTTCTTGAATTTTGCATCCCACTCACAGCCACCACCATCACCACCAGTCGACGCTCAACCCGAAACGACTTCAGCTCAGCAGGTACAATCCAGTGCATTTTGTTGCGGCGGCCGCCTTGACATATGCACCTGCACCCCGCCGATACGAGAAAATTATTTTTTTTCCTCTGCAAAAAAAAAAAAAAAATTTAAGCAAGAGAAAAAAAAACGGTTAGCGGATCAGCTCACGCCTTCGCGCCAACCTGGAGCAGACCAACGGCCGAGTCTAGTCCAAATCACGGCAAAGCATCAAACCTAGTTTCAGCCGGATGCGTTTCCTGCTCTCTTCCGCCGATGCCGACCCGGAAGACTAGTTAGATGAGAGACGACAAGAATGCTGGGCTAAATTCCAACATGGCAATTGTCATGAAACCCCCTGTTTCTCAGTGGCGTGTTAGCAAAGTGCATTCTCCTCTGCAACCCTGGGCTCCGACTTGGGGAGGTATAGTAGAGAATAAGTTGAAAACTTGCTTCGTTGGAGCAGGTAGCATTTCAACGGCTTCATGCAAGCGAGCCGTGTGTGGCGTCGGCTTGCATAATAACAAGGGACACTGCAGACAACAGCTGGTCGGGTGTGTGAGAGTCTTGTCTGTGAGCCCCCTCCTCTCCCCTCACCCCATCCGCTTGCGGACCAGAACCGAACCATGAACATGATGTGCGCCAAGGGTCCTTTTCGCCTTAGCCCATATCGAGCTCCTTGTATTGCGATTGGCCGATGGGGCACACCGGACCATTCCGAGCCACCCAGCCAGCCCAGGCCCAAGCTTGCTGCCCTCCGTGTAAGAGCCAGAGCACAGCGGCTCATTGTATAAGAGAGTGGCCACTGCCCGTCGCCTGAAAGGAAATGCTGCGTGCCTTTTCTTTTCCTCCAGTGCGACTTTTTCCTTCGCTTCTTTGAATATACTTTGTGTCCCCTACAAAGCTGCAGCCACACACATCATTCATCATGGCAGTCACCGCCGTCCAGGACTCCCCTCCCCCAATCCCGGCCACCATCGACGTAGGCGCCGGCAGTACCAATCGCTACAGCAAGGAAGGCCGCGATCATCCCATCCCCAGCCAGTACAAGAACACCCTGACCGTTGTCGTCGGCGAGTTCTGTGGCACCTTCATGTTCCTCCTCCTCTCCTTCATCGGTACCCAGGCCGCCCTCGACACCAACAACCCGAGTGACCTCCAGGCTCGGCCCCTCGCCCCGTTCAGCCTCATGTACATTGCCGCCTCCTTCGGCACTGCCCTCGCTGTCAATGTCTGGATCTTCTTCCGCGTCACCGGCGGCATGTTTAACCCGGCCGTAAGTTATTCTTTGGTAAAAGGGTAGCCTGTAAGTCCCGCAAAGTTGACAAACAATGTACAGGTCACACTCGGTCTCGTTCTAGTCGGCGCCGTCTCGCCTCTTCGAGGTCTCGCCGTATTCCCTACCCAGATCGTCGCCGGCATCGCCGCCGCTGCCGTCGCCGACGGTCTCCTCCCGGGCCCTCTCGGCGTCGCCAATACCCTCGGTGACGGCACCAGCATCGTCCGTGGCCTCTTCATCGAGATGTTCCTCACCGCCCAGCTCGTTCTGACCGTCTACTTCCTCGCCGTCGAGAAACACCGCGCCACCTTCCTCGCGCCAATCGGCATCGGCCTCGCTGTCTTCATCGCCCATATTTGCGGCACCAACTTCACCGGCACCGGCATCAACCCGGCCCGCTCCTTCGGCCCGGCCGTCATCACAGGCTTCACAGGCTACCAGTGGATCTACTGGCTCGGCCCGTTCATGGGCTCCGGCGTGGCCTACGGGCTCTACACCTTCCTCACCTGGGTCGATTACAAGACGGCCAACCCGGGCCAGGATGACGACGACCTGGAGAAGGGCCGGACCCACCACTCGCCGGAGCGGCCAGGCAGCGGCGAGAAGCGCCCGCTTTCCAGGAGCACTGACGGCACTGCTGCGCCTAGCTTGCCATAAATCTCGCCAAAAGGAGTCCATGTCGGTGAAAACATGCACAGGCTTGTGCAAACGTCTTGTGGAAGTTCATAATAAATCTGGGTTGTCAGGTATTAGCACGCATTAGGCATGAATAGGTGTGAAGGAGGGTGGGACAGAAGGAACCGTTGAGTTCCTGCAGAAGTAGCGCAGTTTAGAAGAATCCTAATGATAATTCGATTTCAGCTCGGGCACCTACCAGTCGCTATACTTCATTACCATCATCGCCCTGTCACAACACGTATAGCAAGGCACGTACCTTTCAGCGTTCTTCTCCTCGCTCTTCTCCATAATGGTCTCCTGCAAGTTGATCGTCGGTGCCGTGCTCGCATCCTCGTCTGTGGCCACGACCGCCTCATCCGGCTCCTCCCTCGTCTGGCGCTGGCGAAACTACGCCAATGCGAGCCCCGTCTCCCCGGTCGACCAGCCTGTCACGATCCATGTGCCGCCTGACACCGACATCTGGCGACCCGCTCCCGACCGCAACAACTTCACCGCGCCTTTCCTTTACACCACCGTGCCCGCCGCCTCTTTTCTAAGCGCCCGCGTCACCGTCGCCGCGCCGTGGCGCACGCTCTACGACCAGGGCGGCCTCGTCCTCGCCTTTCCATCCCGCGAAGCATTCGCGGCGCGCTCCATCAAGGCCGGTATCGAGTTCACTGACGGCGCGCCTGCGCTCGGCGTCGTCGGCACCGACACCCTGTCGGATTGGAGCTTGAGCCCGCTCTTGGAGCGGCAGACAGGAGGAAACCAGACGGCCACGGTCACGATTGAGCGCCAGGGCACCGATGCGTGGGTGTACGTGCTGGAAGACGGGGGTAGGACGAGGCGCCAGCTGCGGCAGGTAACTTGGGCGTTCAGCAGATATGACGGCCGGGCCGGGCAGATGGTGCATGTGGGCATCTACGGCGCAAAGCCGACGCGGGAGAGTCCCCCGTCGGACCCCTTGACCAAGCTTCCGGTCAGCCTTTTCGACTTTGAGCTGGTCCTTAAGAAGTAGACGATTGATGTTTGTTTCTATGCGAGTTTTCCCTTTTGCGACCATGCGTTGTCCGTGTATCTTGCTCTTTTCTGGATACTTTCCTGCCGTTGTGCTTTTGTGCTTGTCTGTATTCCGTGAGCTTGTTAGCATGTATATGTCTCACAAGCATTTCTCAATGGATATCTTAGTATTAAAGTTGCTCTGCATCCATTTATTAGAACTTACGAAGCACCCGGACGACGTCGTATTGCCAGCGCGACTCTACAGCCCAGCAGCACTTGCCCACAGGTTGCTCCCCACAGAGTCCCCTATCTGCCCGGAACTTTCTCGCATCAAGCTCTCGAAAAATGCAAATTCAACGCCTTGAAGCGCCCATTGATCAGCTTCCTCTGTTGGCAATGACGACGCCGCAGGCATATAGTTCTCGTTGGCAGAGGGAATAGACAGGGTCCTGAAGGCAGCAGATCCTTGATGCCTGGCGGCTGCACTCCCAGTAGGACCCGTGTTACCTGTCTGCCCTAGGAACTGCGAAACGTTGCTCATAGAGTCTTCAGCGTCGACACCCTCAAAAACCATCTGGCCGTCTTTGGAGATAGTAATTACTCCGAAGCAGGGGACAAAAAACCGTATCGGTTCCGCGTCATGAGACCTGGCAGTGCCGGTACCAGTATCGTCAGGCGTATTGGTGTCAGAGTGGAAGCCCAGATCAGTATCTATTGCCAACAGTTGTCGGATCATCTTGGCCGCCGGGTTCTTTGACTCGCTACCGTCCGCTGGTACGTCTCTTTCCAAGGCTTCCAACACCTGCTCGATCATGGCGCGATCCGACAGCCGCTGGTGGGCTAGGCAAGGACCGCCTCCGTGTCTCTTGATGTAGAGATGCATGAGTAGCAGAGTAAGAGAAGACATCAAGGCCAAGAAGTCGAGGAGTCGGCAGTGTGAGAGAAACCCGTCTTCGAAAATATTATTCAGACACCGCGTCAAGATGTCGCGGCTAGCACTGATGCACGTATTGCGGCTATAGTCGTAGCGACTCGAGTCGGCTGCCGAACCGATCATCATATAGGGTAAGTGAGTTTGGTGTAATAAATAATAGTGGTATATCTGGTTGATCAGACGCCGGGACTCCCAGAACCGTTGTGTGCTGGTAAGGGAATCTTTCCAGGCTGGTTCAAGCCACCACCAGCTCGGCATGTTGTTGGCGGCCTTTTGCAGATCTGCATCGATGTTCTGTGTAAGCTCAAAGTCCCCTGCGGTGGGCTCACGGTCATTCCGCTCTAGGATCCGACCAGCTGCAAACGCATGCCGGCGTTCGAGTTGACCCATGGCTGTGTCCTGGCTGAGGGTTGGTTCATTCATCATGGACGAATCAGGCGAGGCAAGTGGCAGTCCTAGCATGAGGCTGAACAGGCGGTCTATGTGTACAATGCGGTGCCAGAGGAACCGAGGATCCAGGATGCAGCTCGACTGAATTGATTTGATGCTGAGCGCTCGATAAGGACGGCGGTGGATGCCTAGCCCTTGCGCAATGCTAACGATGTGTCGGTGGGCAAGCCAGACGCGGCGCAAATTTCCTTGATTGGCTTGGTATATGCTGTCGAGAATCAGACACGTCATGCCCTCGCTCGTGTCCAGCATCATGTTGCTAGCGCCGACGATGCTCATGGCAGTGGTGGCTAGGCGAGCCATGATAGCCTTGGGGGGCTCGTCGGAGAGGGCCTTAAGCTTGGCCAGCGTGTCGCTCCGGGCTTGCTGTAAGACATTAGCAAGGACGAGCATCTGCTCTGCGATGACGGCGGGGTGTGAATCGATGGTCTGCCGGGTATGCAGCAAATGGTAGTCCATTCGCTCATGAGCTGGAAGGTCAATCCAGTCGTCAATATCGCGATAAGAATGAAACATGGTCAGGTAGTTGTTCAAAAACGTCGTGCTTGAATCGACGAGAACCTGGACATATGTTTCGTTAGGATAGGCCGCCAGCAGGATCCTCGACATTTCACGGGCCTTTGTGTTGGTCGTAGTTGGCGTCGGGGCTATGACAAACTGAGGGTGAGGCGGAGTGTGTGGTGACGAAGCAGGCGTGCTGAAGCTGTCCTCATATACAAGGAAGCCTGGTATAGCAGGTCCATCCACTGGTCCCTAGTGAAGTAAGGTTAACGTTTGCGTGCTGTGAACGGCCATGGATACCTACGGGCGAGGGCCTTGCCCCTGCGTTCCCAGACACGGCCAACGACTCGACGCTGCTGGTCTCAGATAAAGGCTGCTTGGCTAGCTTGGCAATCATGGCCTCCATGCGCAGGAAGCGATCGCCAACGAGCCTGCTGCTGCGCTCTGGCGTCGTCTGGTCGGGGAATTCTTGGCGAACGCATTCCCGGGAGCGGCGGGAGCAGCTGATGCACGTGGCATCGCTTGGGGATGAGAATATGCATCGGATTTTGCGGCGCTTGCACTCCCAGCAGCTGCGGGTTCCCTTTCTCGTCTTCCGCCGCCTTTCCTGGCGCGCGTCGCGAGAGCCTCCGTCAGCAGCCGTCATTTGGTCGGAGCAGGCTAGGAGAACCAATTCCGAGGGCGGACCGAGCGGCGAGGGGGCAAAAGAGATTGTGGCTCGATGGCCAAGAAAATGTAGCGAATGACGACTGTTTGCGAGTCTAGGCAAGAGCCCTGTCGCTTAATGGGAGATACAATGTGGTGGTTTGTGATCCGTGAGCTTGGTAGAGGTTGTAAGAAGCAAACGCCGAACGGCGGAGTTTGGCGAGTGGACTTGTTTTATACAGTAACTAGGTGCAAGAGACAGCCTCGCCGACTTCCCTTCCGAGCCAGCTGGAAGTGCCGGAGTCAGCCAGGAATCGATCATGTGAGAAGTTCGAAAAAGAAAAGGGACTATATGATTATTTTTGGTTCTAATTTTTCTTTCTTCCCACCGTACTTCACTTTCCTATACTTGTACTGCCACAGTGTGTGTGGCATGATACACCCGCTTTGCTGACGGAGCGTAGAGGGCCTGCACACTTGTCGCCCCCACAGCCGCCTCATCATTTACACTGTTTCGGTAAAACGATGAGGAAAAGAAGATATACAGGTGCAATAAACTGTCCGATTCTAGGTCGGGGGCGTCGACATGGCAACATCTTCCGCCGAGAAAGCAGAGCTGGTGGTGGCTACTTGCAACTCGGACCTCTGTGGTGATATTCGTCCGCCGTTCGGGCGAACACACTTACATACAACTCGCCGACAGGAGACGACGTTGGCTGGCCGTCATGCACAACACAACTCGGAGTTCCTCTTGTAATCCTTGTCCGCTATTTCCGTCCTCGTATTACCAATATGCCCTTGCGGACATTCCTTGAACTCGTAAAACCACAAATGCCACAGCGAGTGGCTCGCAAGCTGGGGACAGCCTTATCTGCGCTGACATATAAGTCATGTCTTGTGCCGGATGTCCTGTTATCTTGACGTTTAAATAGCTCTCCTTCTCCGCTCATTATTTTGCAAATATACTAGTTGTTCGCGTGTTGGGAGGTGACAAAGTTCATCATGTCGACGGCAAGCAACACTACCATGGCAGCGCCAGAACGCACTGGCAGCAAGGCAGACGACGCTCCGCACCAACACCACGCAGGAGCCGCAGATTCGGAGAAGAACCTCTCGGATGAAGAAAAAGTGACCATCAAGCCACAAGAGCAAAATGACGACGACTACCCGCAGGGATTGACACTATTCTTCCTTACCTTGGCTCTGGCCCTGGGCATGTTCATGATGGCCTTGGACAATGTAGGTTTTCTCACGGATCGACATATAAACCTAGCAGAATGCTGAACTCAAGTCAAATTCTCCAGACCATCGTTGCGACCGCGATTCCCAAAATCACCGACGAGTTTCACGGCCTCTCCGACGTCGCCTGGTACGGCTCTGCCTACTTCATGACCGCCGGCGGCTTCCAGCCGCTCTGGGGCAAGGCCTATAAGTACTTCCCCCTCAAGACCACCTACCTCGTTGCCTTCTTCATCTTCGAGCTCGGCAGCCTCGTCTGCGGCGTTGCCCCGACCTCCACCGGCTTCATCGTCGGCCGAGCCGTCGCCGGCGTTGGCGCCGGCGGCATCGGCTCCGGAAGCTACACCCTCCTCGCCTTCGCCGTGCCCCCGCGCCGCCGGCCCCTCTACACTGGCATCATCGGCGCCTCCTACGGCGCCGCCTCGGTCGTCGCCCCGCTGATCGGCGGCGTCTTCGCCGACCGCGTCACCTGGCGCTGGTGCTTCTACGTCAACCTGCCCATCGGCGCCGTCTCCGGGGCCATCATCCTGCTCTTCTTCCGCACGCCGGCGCTCGCGAAGCCCGCGGTGGCAACGCGCCGCGAGAAGGCGCTGCAGATGGATCCGGTGGGCGTGGCGCTCGCGATGGGCGCGGTGATCGCGTTCGTGCTCGCCATGCAGGCCGGCGGGCAGACGGACCCGTGGAGGTCGTCCAAGGTGGTCTGGCTGCTCGTCGGGTTCGTCTTGATCGTCGCGGCATTTGTGGGCTGGGAGGTGTACAGCGGCAGCCGGGCCATGGTCGAGTCGCGGCTGATGAAGATGAACTTTGTCTGGGTCAATGCCGCATACTCGTTCCTGGTGGTGGCGTCCTTCTTCACAATCGTCTACTTTTTGCCCGTCTACTTTCAGAGCATCGACAACGTCAGCCCCATCATGTCAGGGGTCAGGAACATTCCATTCATCCTGGCGGCCATCATTGGAAGCGTCCTCGTGGGAGCGAGCATAGCCAGCAATGGCATCTCTACGCCGCTGATGGCTGCGGGAGCAGTGCTCGGGACCGTTTCCTGCGGGCTACTCTATACCTTCGATATAGGCACTCCAATGGGCAAATGGATTGGGTTTCAAATTCTTGCTGGAGCAGCGTATGGCGGTGCATTCCAGATTCCCATTATCCATGCACAAGGCACAGCAAAGCCAGAGGATCTATCCGCCATCACTGGCATCATAATGTGTAAGTTGTTAGAGTTGAGCCCCGTATTTTCCACTCTCGTACTTACTTTTACTTTCCTTTTTAGTCTTTCAAACACTAGGTGCCGCAATGGTGCTTTCTTCAGCACAAGCCGCTTTCGCCAATAGACTGATCCAAGTCGTGACGGCTGCGGTCCCGAGCATCCAACCAGCGGCTCTACTGGCCACGGGAGCGACACAGATCAGAGTTGTCTTTCCTCCCGACCTGCTTCCTACTATCCTTGCCGGTTACATGGCTGGTATCAAGGTTGCATTTGCTATTACCATCGGTGCCACCGGATTGGCGCTTTGTTTTCTGCCCTTCGGAGACTGGAAGCGCCTAGATCCAAAAGCTTTGGAGAGTGTTGGAGCAGCTGTTTGATCGAAAATCGCACAGTACGCCCTCAGTTGGAGAATCTCCGCACAATGGTTTCTTTTGGATGTTTGACTAGTTAGAATCTCAGCCCAAGTCTTCGCGCAAGGCATTACTTTTTAAGATCTATTATAATTATCGCGACACAGTTTCATTACTTTTTGACCCTCACGTTATTTTGTCCGCTGAGCATGCACAAGAGTGTAAAAAACGCTCATTGATTCCATGGCCTGAAGCCCTATCTGATGATATTATCGTCAGTAATATTGCATGGCGCGGTTCCTAGACACCAAGTATATACAATGTGCAGCCTATGAAAGTCCAGAGACTTAGCCTGGCAGTACATAATCGCCGCAATTAGTGTGTCCAAGGCCCCTTACACCAGCTCGTCTATTCGCAGAAATTCAAGTCTTTTTCCCATGCCCCCTCTTTCCGTCTCCCGGAATGAAATAAAAAATCATATTGCATCATTTCGTGCCCAAAAACATGTGCAGCTTTAGGCCTGAACAGCGTACTCGCGCTTGAACATGTCGTCGACCTTGGTGAGGTAGTAGGCGCCGGGGATGATGGTAGAGGTCTCACCCTTGGGGGTGTAGTCCTTCTGGAGATGGGCCTGCTTACGAAGGTTGCACATCTCGTCGTAGGTAGCGGGAGGGACGGCACGGCGGGCTTCGAGTCTGGCGGGGATGTCGAGAACCTTGGAAATGTTCTCAACACTGCCGTTGACGCGGAAGGACATGAAGGAGGCAGCGAGACCGGAGCCGTAGCTAAACAGGCCAATGCGCTTGCCCTCAAGGTCCTTGGCAGGGACAAGAGAGAGAAGACTGGCAAGACCACCCCAGACACTGGCGCAGTACATGTTGCCGCACATGGTGGCAACCTGGATGGCGGGGTTGACACGCTCCTGGAAGCGCTTCTTGGTGAGGGCCATGAAGGTCTTCTCGACGGCCTTGTCGGTCAGAGACTTCTCGTAATCCATATCGCGGAGCTCGGGGGCAACCTCGCCAAAGGCGGGGAGGTCGGCGTTGGCGAGGAAATCGTGGTACAGAAGACGAGCGTAGGACTTCTGGACCAGCTTGCACGTGGGGGCGTGGAAGGTCATGTAGTCAAAGCGGTCGAGCGATGTCTTGCCCTCCTCGCCATTGGCAACTCCGTTGCCGTTAATGTGCTGTTTAGCCTCGCGTTTGCAGTAGTCGCGGTAGGCGGCATCAAGGGCCTTGGTGTAGCAGTTGATAGAGTAGTGGCCATCGACGTAGGGGTACTCGGAGGTCAGATCAGGCTTGTAAAAGTCATAAGCATGCTGCATGTAGGTGCCACGAAGGCCAGGCTCGGCAACGACGGGGGCGTTGGGGCCGACAAGCATGGCGACGACACCAGCACCACCAGTAGGGCGAGCAGCACCCTTGGCGTAGAGGGCAATATCGCCACAAACGACAATGGCGTCACGGCCGTCCCAGGCAGAGGACTCGACCCAGTTAACCGAGTTGAAGAAGGCGTTGGTACCGCCGTAGCAGGCATTGATGGTGTCGACACCCTCGAGGCTTGTGTTGTCGCCGAAGAGCTGCATGAGAACCGACTTGACCGACTTGGACTTGTCGAGGATGGTCTCGGTGCCAACCTCGAGGCGGCCAACCGAGTTGACATCGATTTTGTACTTCTTGAGGAGGTTCGAAGTGACGGTCAAGGCCATGGAGTAGATGTCTAAAGTAGTCAAAGGGTCAGCTTGACGTGCCTCTTTGCAAATAGTCGGTGCGGAAAGCGGTGTCGGAAGCAGGAGGGGTGGGTGGTACCTTCGCGGTCGTCGCAGAAAGCCATCTTGGTCTGACCGAGACCAATGGTGTACTTGCCAGCAGCAACACCGTCGAACTTCTCGAGCTCGGTCTGCTCAACATACTAGAAGGAAGAAGTTGTTAGTATTTGGTGATTGTAGAGCTGATGGCGGCCCAACCCAGCACCCTCAGTGGCGATAGAGGGGTCATTTTGGAGGGGTAGGGGTCCAGCGACAAGAGCATACCTGGCTGGGGAAGTAGATTTCGATGGCCTTGATGCCAATGTTCTGAGGACGAGCAGCCATTTTGAAAGGGTATAGGAGGACGTAGCCGGTAGAAGACAAAAGAGGTAGAGAAGCAAGAGACAATTGAGGAGGACAAGTATTGTTGTAAAGGGGGGGATGTGGGAAGGTTATTATTGTCGAGGACTTGAGCTAGTGGATGTGGAGAGTAGGAGTGTGCTTGGGTGGCATCGCTACAGGATTTTCACCGCCCTTTATTTACCAGCAGCCCCCAGCCCAAGACGAGCAGCCCGACGAGAGAAGAAAATGCTCCGAATTGGCAGTAAAGCGGATTCTGCCAGGGGCTGCCATTTCTTTGGTGGGGTTGGGTGAGGTTGGTGCAGTGGTTAGGGGAAGTCAACGAGCGTCGAGATTCATCAACAAAGCGCTCCAAGCAAACCCCCAGCGAGTCGGCTGGTGGGAACAGTGGCCACCAAACTTTGTCACAAAGGCTCCACCACCGATTATCTACAGTGCATCCACTGTACTAGTTAGCGCTAGGTCATTGATACCGTGCCTCGTACTCCGTGCCCGAACTAAGGTGCTTCTCTCTCGCTCACTGCAGCCACGAGTATTCGTACAGCAATCGGTTGCTCATGCCAATTCCACTCGCTTTTGGTCAACACGGCATACTCGTTACGCAGATTGTTTGCTTCTCTGCTTCCCGAAGTCATGCGTTTCATGACGTGCCTACAAGCTGACACTGGCCATCATCCCATCTCCCCATCGCAAACGCCACCAAGACCATAGCCCCAGCCGCTCGCCTCTTCATCACCATCATGTCTCATTTCCCGCCCGCATCCGTTGCCGTTGACGCGGTAATGACCCCATCTCGCATCCGCCGCCGAGCTCGAGCCGTAATCGCTCGCAAACGCTGGCAGTCTCGCCCACAACATCGGCAAAGCGAGCTCAAAAGACAGAAATCTAAACCAAGACATTTAAAATCTGACAAAAAGCATGTCTCGAAAGCCTCAATCAAGGAGCTGTGTCAACTACGTCAAGCATCGCCAATTCCTGAGATCGCGTGCACCTGCCCGTTCCCACCCGTATTCGTACAGACGGCGGAGGCTAGCTGTTGCCGAAGAACTGGCGGCTGCCTGCAGAGATCGGTCGCATGAAAACCGAAAAACTCGCCCTGAACCTTGTCTCGGATAGGCTAGGCTGCCCGGCCCTGCACAGGGAGGGTCCAGCCGAGTCCCTCAGAACTTTGCCCAGCCTCGCCCGGAGCGGTTGAGCCTCACAGCCATATACATGATAATACGAGTCTGGCGAGATACTGTCAAAGACTCGTTCTCCATCACCATCTTACACGCTCTCCATGCGACGCGTCATGTTTTAGCTTTTGCTAAAACGTCACGCGGGTAGATATGGGGACTTGGTAGTCTCAATTTACACGAGTCCGCATAACTATAACGTCGTGCTGCTACGTTGTGTTACAAGATCATGTGTATAGGCATGTGACGCCTGATAGTAACAAATTAGGAAAGACGCATCAACTCCGCAGCGACCGCGAATCAGCCAGGCTACATATCAGTAGCCGCCAGGCCACTATTCAGCGCAGTCGCGCCAACTAGTAAACAATACATTGACAACTGCAACGCCACGCAGCACACATGGCCTCATAATGCGAGATGTTTGTGACATTGATAACGCGATTGGCCAGTCGGATACAGTAACCAACTACTAGTACATGCTGCGGAATGCAGCTACTTGTGCTTTGCATCTTCCTAATTTCATATTACGCAACAGTCTATTTTCTGTTCGGCAACTTGCCTCTTCAATATCGCATCTCCAAGGCAGTCGGGATTCGTAAACTTGTTTCAAGTCATCTCGAAATCGCACGGATCCGGGTTGGCTCGTGTTCGCTTGGATCGGCTCCGAAAACCGGCACAACGGAGCAAACCGTAGCAGCGAACGTTAACGAACTTGCAATATTTCATCCTCGAAACATCTTCAAAAGAAGCATTCGAATCGCGCACTGAAAAATGCCACTTCATTTGAGGGTTGCGATTTTGCCTCGATCGGTTGGATGGCTCCTCTCCTTGGCTGCTCGGCGCACCATCGGACTTGGGGTCAGCAAGCTCCAAAAGCCCACACACCACACACCCTACACTCGAGCGCTTTATCAGATCATCTCTCCTGCAACGTCATGACCTCTCCACAGGTTTAGCCAAATGCCTCATGTGGGGGGTATGAGATATAACTGCTCCTTTCTTTCGCTTTTTTATGCGCGATTAAACTCTTGTCAGCATTGTTGATCCCAGCGTGCTGCTGTCAGAGCTGAGATCTGGATCATCACATCATGGCTGCCCCGCCAGCATGCGATGTGCTGGTCGTCGGGAGCGGCAACGCGGGCTTCTCTGCAGCACTCTCAGCAAGCCAATTCGGAGCAAAAAAAGTCGTCTTGATAGACAAGTGCCCCGAGGATTGGGCAGGCGGTAATTCGTTCTTTACAGCAGGTGCGTATCGCGTTGCGCATGATGGGCTGAAAGATGTCCTCCCACTAGTGAGCAACGTGTCCGAGGAGCAAGCTGCCAAGATTCAGCTCGCCCCATATACCGAAGATGATTTTCTCAGCGATATCCGTCGTGTTTGCGAGGATAAGTCCGACCTAACACTCTCTTACGCGCTTGTATCCGAGTCGAACGCGGCAGTCAAGTGGCTTGCTGCTAACGGCATTCGCTTTGCCCTCTCGTTCAACCGACAGGCGTATGAGGTCGATGGAAAGATCAATTTTTGGGGTGGTCTATGTCTGAAAACGCTTGAAGGCGGTAAAAGCCTGATTGAAGACCACAGGGACGCGGCGCGCAAGCAGGGAATAGAAGTCTACTTCTCAACGGAGCTCCTTTCTCTACGTCATGCGGTGGATGGGGAGCATATCACGGCGGGTGTCAGGAATAACGAGAAAGAGACGAGCATAACGGCTGGAGCTGTGATACTAGCGGCTGGAGGCTTTGAAGCCAACTCGGCGATGCGCAGCCGCTTTCTTGGCCCAGGCTGGGACAAGGCTGCCGTTCGCGGCACACCGTACAATACCGGTGAAAGCCTTGAGCTCGCGCAGGATTCGCTCGGTGCACAACCTGTAGGTGATTGGGCCGGTTGCCACTCCGTTGCCTGGGATGCCACGCACGCCGACCCGAACAAGGGTGATCGTCTGGCCTCGAACGAGTATACCAAGTCCGGCTATCCACTTGGCTTGATGCTCAACATTCACGGCCGGCGCTTCGTCGACGAAGGGGAGGATCTGCGCAACTACACTTACGCCAAGTTTGGCCGAGCCATCCTCGAGCAGTCTGCTCACACAGCCTTTCAGGTCTGGGACGCGCAGACGAGCGGGTGGCTGCGCGCCGAGGAATACCGCGGAGAGCGTGCCGAGCGACTCGAAGCCGATACGCTCGAGGGACTCGCGGAGCTTTGTGCGCCGCGCGGCCTCGTTGACGAGGATGCCTTTTGCAAGACCATCCGCGCGTACAACGACGCCGTGCACGCACGGCCCGCCGACGCCGCGGCCGCGTGGAACCCGGCGGTCAAGGACGGCCTGTCGACGGGGACGCGGCTCGAGCTGCCCAAGTCCAACTGGGCGCTCGCGGTGGACACGCCGCCGTTTCTGGCCGTCAAGGTGACGTGCGGCATCACGTTTACCTTTGGCGGCCTGCGCGTGGACCCTGCTACGGCACAGCTCATCGGCGCGGACGGGGAGCGGATCCCCGGCGTCTACTGCGTGGGTGAGATGCTAGGCGGGCTCTTTCACGGCAACTATCCGGGGGGCAGCGGCCTGACTTCTGGGACGGTTTTTGGGAGGAGGGCCGGCAGGGCGGCGGCCGCGCATGTCGGCGGACGGGCTGCCAGTGTAGTGTCGCGGGCGGCACGGTGACGGAGCAGAGTGGGAAGACGGCTTCGTGGAGTCGTCAGGTATATTTTAAGACTTTATAAAAGATAAAACGCCGATTCTATGCAATGCTATATTCTAAGGGGTGGCATATCCCGAATCTGAGGAGCCTCGACTGTCGCGCTTTCCTTGTTGGCCTTTAACTGCTTTGGCCTTCGTGGCCACTGCCGCAGCCTCTTGCTTCTGCTTCTTCCCTTTTTCTCTCTTCTCGGCCTTTTCATCCTCGCCGCCTCCTTCCTGGGTCTCGTCTGCTTCGTCCCCATCCTTCTCACCGTCCTCACCCTGACCCTCCTCTTGGTTCTCGTCCGCATCCTGGTCCTCGCTCTCATTCTCGTCTTCCGTTTCCTCCTTCACCCTCTTCGACTTCTTCTTTTCCTTCTTCTTGCTCTTCTTGTTCTTCTTACCCTTCTTCTCTTTCTCCTCCTTCTCTTTCTTTTCTTTGTCGTTTCGCTCCTTCTCCTCCTTTTCTTTCTTCTCCTTCTCCGCCTTGTCCTTCTTGTCCGCACGCATTTGCACTACCCAACCCTCGACGGCGTCGACGGCCGTCTGGGAAGAGCGCTTGTGGCGCAGAAGCAGGCCCTGGATCTCGGCGGGGCTGAACTCGTTCGGGGGGATGCGGCGGCCAAATTCTTTGGCAAGGACGGCGACCTCGTCGATAAGGGTCTCTTTGCCCTTGTTCTCCTTGCTGCCGGCACCGTCGGCAAGTTCGCCGTCAAAAGGCATGTAGATAGCCTTGAAGATGGACTCGCTCATGTCGGCGTCGGCGAGTTGGAAGGGGATGATCATGTCGACGCGACCGGGACGGATGAGGGCCTTGTCGAGGCTCTCAAGGTGATTGGTGGTCATGATGAGGACTCGGCCTTCTTGTGCAGCGACGCCGTCGAGGATGTTGAGCAGCGCAGAGAGGGAAAGCTGGCCCTGCCCCGTCGGCGCATTGTCGCTGCCGCCACCCTCCTTGTCGTCGTCATCTTTCTTGGTCTCGCGCGTCTTGGAGAGGCCAGCGGTGTCAATATCTTCGAGCAGGACGATGCAGTTGGTGGGGAGCTCGGCAAAGAGCGACGCCAGGTTCTCCTCGGTGGCGGTGAGGGAGCTCAAGCTGACAATGTAAATCTTCATGCGAAAGTAGCCGGCGAGGGCGACGCTAAGGGAGCTCTTGCCGGTGCCGGGCGGGCCGTAGAGCAGGTAGCCGCGGCGGTAGGGGATGCCACGGTTGGCGTACCAGCGGCGGGTAGCGGGGTCGAGGTAGTCGCCGGCGTCGGCGATGATGTCGGCCTTGACCTTGTCGGGGAGGATGACGGTGGAGAAGTCACGGTTGGGGCGGGACATGCAGCGCTGCCAGTAGCTGTCGGTGCCGTAGGTGGATACGGAGCTGGTGGCGCGGTAGATCACGGTCTTCCTGTCGTCCTTTTTGAGATAGAGCAGGCGGGCGTCGGCGAGAAGACGCTTGAGGACTGCCGGGTCGCGGCCGAGGCAGCTGACGCAGAGCTCCTCCTGCTCGCTGGGGTTGCGCAGGCTGATCTTGTCCTTGGTCTGGCGGCGGGAGAAGCGCAGGGGCACGCCGCGGTACCAGAACCAGTGAGTTCCGGCCGAGGGAGTGTAGTGGAGGACGTGCTTGCCGCGGTTTTTGGCGAGCGCGGTGTCTTGGTCGTCGTCGGCAGCGGCGACGTCACGGGTACTTCCCTCAGTCTCGTCCTCGTCTTCGCCGCCACTCTCGTCATGCGCGCGGTAGAGGTATTCGCTGCGGGAGTAGACGGAGGTGTTTACGACGAAGTTGCGGGTGCGGTGGCAGAAGGGCTGGCGCGTCATCCACCACATGAGGATGTTGTAGGTCTCGTCGTCGGTGTGGACGGTGAAGGAGGACATGAAGCTGGCCTCGACCTGGTTCATGACGGTGTCGCAGACGTAGCGCCAGGAGAGGGCGACAGCGACGGCGGCGACGACGAAGGGCAGGTAACGGTTGAGGTCAGCGCCGAGGCTGGCGTTGAGGGTCGAGATGAGGACCGAGTAGCCAGGGAAGAAGTAGTTGAGGAGGGCGAATTGGGGGGAGGGGATGCCGGCGCTGTCGTTGCCGGGGACGGCGTGGCTGGCCTGTAGAGGATCCATGATGGTGATGGGCAAGAAAGTGTTGTGTGTGGTTGATAACGTGTGTTTGCGTGTTTGTACGCTGCGGTCTGGCAGCTGCCTGTTTGGACCCAGGCAGCACCAGATGCTGCTAAATGAGGGGAAGGATTGAGATTGAACGAGAGAAGAGCCTGAAGAAGAAGAGGATGAAAGGAGACAGAGGAGATGAGGAGGAATGAAAGAGTATTTGTAACTTTGAAAATTGAAGAATTCATACAGAGACGGAGGGAGGGGTGTGAATGTTGGTGTTGTTGCCTAACAACCCCCCCCGTCGGTTGCTTGTCGAGTCGCCCGCCGCAGCCTGGGAAGACGGTGTGGCTGATGCAGATGCTGGGCGGCAAATTTCCTCACCAAAGAGGTAAAGTACTCACCAAAAAGGTCAAGTCAAACAAAGAAGAGAGAAAATTTGCCGGTGAACAAGGTACCACAAAAGATTGGCCGGGGAAAAAAGTGCATTGTAGGCCGGGGGGGGGCGATGCCGATTGAGTCACGCCAGGCGCATAAGCGGCGATGAGCATAGACGAGAACGCCTTGCGATATCAGATGAGAATTGTTTTTAATGATTATTATTGTTTTATGTTGGTAAAAAGACGAAGAGGATTCGCCGCTAGATCCTGATTCTCATTGAAATTATCAGTCTATTTTCCTGTCAGTCGTATGTGATTGGCGCTCGTCCTCCCCTCACTCGATTTCTCGTACATACTCGGCTGCTGCGTCACACTTGCACCCGCCCCTCCCCTCTGATCAACTTCGCTGCGCCTCGCGGTGGCAATGCATGAAGCCAATGCAGGATGCCGCATGCTCGCCCTCCAGTAATAACCGGCCCCGGAACCCCCATGGTTGCATTGTTTTTTCCCCTAGCGGCGAATGACCCAGAAGGCTGATTGCCTTGCCAGGCTCGCTGGGAGTTTTCTTCCCTTTGCGTGAAAGAGTGACGCGGCCGCCACTCGAAATACAGCGAATGCCAAGAAAGCACACACACCCAAGGGCGCCGGCCTGATGTTGGGTGAATTTACTAACCGATAAGGCGCGCCCAGCCAAAGCTCCAGGAGGGTCCGGTAGAGGCCGAGTCTACCACGGGCCAGCGCTGCCAGATCTGGCCAGGCATCCAAATTGATGCCAGCTACAGATCTGTGCTTGCCGGTCAAAAGAGTCATCGCATGATGCTAAATGCTCTTCTAGTACAAGGTTGAATGTATCCCCTAGCGACAAAAGGGCTCTTTAAACCATGCAGCGCTTGTTCGTTCCGCAAAGCATGCACAAGTCGTGTTGGCTACAGGGTACCCTAACCTCTGCCGTCAAAGCATTTCTTCCATCATTGCGCCGCTCTATCCCATGAAAGCTGCCAAGAACTCGGCTTTTTGAACGATTAAATCTAGTGAAAGCATTATTGATTTTTTTTTTCTTCAAGATCTCGTAATCATTATATACAAGGTTACGTCGCCTTCCGCTTGCTGACCAACTCGAGATCCAATTCAGAAACGAGGTCACGGTGAGCCATCGTTACGATAGATAACAAGCTATGGAGTATACGGACGCTCATTTGTGCCTACCGCAGCCAGAAAATAATACCTTTTTTTTTATATAACACCAAGCTATTGAAACATGCATCGACACTGCCTCTCTTTATCATTTTAAGCTCCGCCCCTCGCTGTGGCGGTCCTATGGCGGTCCTCGTTCCATCTTGGCGAGTGATAGACTGTCTCGTCGCACGCCAAGGGCTTGTCCTGTCTGCAGAGAATTGGACTATAATCCAAGGAGTCAATTCGGACTCTCCAAGCTTTCGGCCGGACATCCACGCATTAAACGGGCTGGGGGAGTTGTACTCGGACATATGTTTGATTTATACACACAACGTGACGGGAAGCGCTGAGGATTTGAACATACTTTATTGGAAGGAAAAGTATACAAGTCGTACCCAAAAACGGGCCGATCCATCGATATCCTCATGCTCGAGCCCCAGCGAACTGTTTTCGCTGGGTGTCGGCGGTAGTGTCAGCCGTGACAGTTGGTCCAAGATATGCAAAATATGTACATGACATTCCCATCCTTCTACAAGAAACAAGAACAAAAAAAAGGCAGCGTCTAATCTATAAAAATGTCAGGATCTGTTCCCTGCGCCAGCGCCATTACTCCTCGCTCTCCCCTCCTTCTTTCTGCTGAATCATTATTTCATCATCCGCACCGGTACTGCTCTACGCCACCTGGTCGCCCCCCCGACGAGTTGCAGACCGGGTTCATCAGCTGCTTCGTGTACCGCACACGACCCGACGGCCCGTCCTGCCACGTGAAGTCGTCATCGTCGCCGCTGCCGAAGTAGCCACCCACCGGCGACGGCATCCGGGCGAAGCGACGCCCGCGCCAGTCCCCCCGTGGTGGGCGGCTGGCCGGCAGCGAGTAGTTGACATTCTGGCAGGGCCGCGACCCCGGCGTCACGAAGCTGTTGCCGACCAGGTTGCCGCAGCCGTCCCACCAGTTGCCGTACTCGTCCTGTTGGAGGCCCTTGTCGTTATCGCGCCACCCCAGGCAGCGTACCGCGCAATCCTGGCAGCACTTGCCGGGCGGTGCGTGTCCGCAGCCGTCATCGTCATCGTCATCGTCATCTTCGTCTTCTTCGTCGTCGTAGTAGTGGGACTGGCGGCTGCGGCTGCTGGGTGCGATCCAGCGGTAGCGTGGGTTGCTCTCCTTGTACCGCAAGTGTGTGCCGTCGAACCAGGTGTTCTCAGGGAGGATGTCGCTCGTCTTTCGTATGTAGGACGACTGTGGGGGCATGCCCGCACTCCAGGCGAGGAACCTGAAGCCCTTTGAGGGACGCTTTGGCAGCGACTTGTTACGAACGGAACGACCCTGGCTGTTTAGGCTCTGGTACACCTGCATCCACGAGTCCTCATCATCCGCCACGATCAGAAGCGCACCAGACTTGTCGGGCATGGTGAAGGGTGTTGTGTGTGGCAGAGTTGGACGAAGAGGGTTATGCGGAGGAGAGGTGAGTCGTGTGGTGTTGTGTGTGTGGTATAGAGTCGTTCTTTCTGGTGAAGTCAAGGAGTATGGAGAGGTAAGTCTTGTGGTAGGAGACGTATGTGCGGTATAAACCTGTTCTCTTTAAGTCAAGGAATACGGAGAGGGAAGGAGTCGTTGAAATGGCGATGACGCGGGGGATACGATGACGATATATATCCCATTGACGGAAGTGAGACAGAGTAGAGCGCCATCCGTGATGAACGGATCGGCTGCAGTCACCTATGGTACACGGCGTTTCGCAAGGCAGGGAGGGTATGCAGGCGCCTACATACAAAGAGGTATGCCATGACACACACGGGCTGAGATCGTGACGAGGCGTTCTGCAAAGGCGGCGCAGCAGGTCGCCCCGGCGGGAAGCGGCAGAAGCCAGTCACTGGCTGGATGACAGCGCTTGGGTTACGGGATTTTTTCTCAAGACATATCTGGAAGGAATTTTTGGTATAATCTCGAAACTTTTGCGCCGTGGCGCTGTCGCAAGTAGGCCGTTGATGTAAGTAGATATGCGCCGCCTTGGTGCGGGGGAGAGAAGCTGTGGTTCGCGCACCGTTGGTCCTGGCTCGGGCACCGAGAGCGGCCGCATCGAGGCCCAACGAACTGTAGCCGAGAGCTGACGAGCATAATGACGAAAGAAATATGATTGGACCGGGAACGGGGAACGGACCAGTGACTTGAGGTGTTGCCAGCGTCTGTCATGGTGTCTGCCACGGCTGTGGTGTGACGCTGCTGCAGCACTTTGCATTGCACCAGGACGGCTTTTATTGAGTGATTCAGGGTCGGACGCGGGGATGGCATCAATTCTCCCTTCGCCTTGCCGGTGATACGGAACACAGGCGCTGCTGGATGGGATTTGCTAAGGACGGGGAAGACTGGAGTGATTGGTAGCACTGTGAAGTCTTGTATCACGGCCAGAGGGGAAGACGCCGGGCGCCTGCCAGAAGGCGGCGCTTCGCATCACTAGGTAGCATGGGAGGAACTTAGTACCGTCTGTCGCCGATAGACACCTACAGCTAATCTCATTCAGATTTTTATTCACGAAATGGAGCCCAGGCCAGACATGTTGTTTCGGCGAGAGAACAAAAGCCCCGGAGTGACTTGCATAGGTCCTTGTACACATTGCCGTTACCAACATGCTGATTGTCGTGGGCCTTCCCCCATCATCATGAACAGGTGGGCCATATGCATCACTGCAATGCATCGGGCCAAGCCGGCATGGAATGAGAAAAAGAAAGTTCCATAACAAATAATTAGGCGCATAATAATTGAAATTATAATTAATCAAGATTATAATACGACGTGATAAAAACACGAGCCCAATGGCTGTCTAGCCGCCTCAAACGTTTGCTGCCGCTGTAAACGTACTGTAGCATCGTAGCCAGACTCTGGAGTAACTGTGTGGGCCAAAACCTGAAACAAACGGCCAGCAGCTATTCATAGGCAAAGGTGAGATTGCAAGGTGACGTAACACTTTTTGACCCCTTTTCTGTTTACACAATCGTTGAACAAGAGGTTTAGAAAGGGGAGAGAAACGCGCTTCCATGCAAATTGTTTTGTCGTTGTTGTCAGTCGAACTATTTGTTTACTAGTTGGCAAGCTATGGAACAACACAAGCTACGCCTATCGTATCCAGTGAATTCGCTCTCCCTTTTTGCTTTTTTTTCTTTTTTTTTTCTTTTTCTTTTTTTTTCGCTAATTGCCAGTCACCGAAATTTTTACAAAAATCAGCGAATTGGTAAGCAACACTATGGGACGAGATGCTGATGGAATGGGCTTCATCGCCTTCGAGGCCTCCCAGCTAAATTTAGCTGGTATGCAATTACTGACTGATAGAGGCAGACATGTTCACTTGAACAAGTAAAAGTGGACAACCCGGGCTCGTGCCAGTAAGAATATCTGAATTTGCCTGGAGCGCATGTATAACTCACCCAGTTTCGCGTCGCTGTTAAGCCCGTCTCGCGCGCCGCAGGGGTTCTACCGTAGTACGGAACCAAGTGAAGATGAACCAACCCTCACAGACAGACACAGAACAGGTTCCCTCGGTGCGCCGGGCTCTGGGGGTCATCCACTTGTTGTGCATTGTGAGAGGAGTGGCCAGGAAGTTATCTTGTCGGTATTTCAACCTGTGAGAGGAGTGGCCGGGAAGTTATATTGCCGGTATTTCAACCTCAGTCACCCATCCCGTCGGTAATAACGAGATGGGGCAATATTTGCCTTCGGCCACATGGTCGGCCGTAATCACGTATGATTTCTATGGCTTCATGAACAAGCCTTGTTGTGCTGAGGGGCTGACAAACGATTTTTTTTTGGGAATACACCGCTGTCTTCGGCTTCATCTTGCGCAACACTGTGCCAGTTCACAACTTGTAACGGGGGCGCGAAAAAGGTGTTCGTTGGAGAATCTAGTGGCGCTGCCGCTTGCTGGTAGGCTTGTCGCGGACGTTTCAGATTGTAGTTGGCGTGAACTGTTCCCGAAGGCCCCTTTATTAGTAGCCTCGGCCGAGTTGGACAAGTCATGCACTGTAGTTCGCGCTGTTGATCAATATTGTTCGTTGAGGTTTTTGATGCATCGCATCGTCCCGAGAGGCAGAGTGAGCTCCAAGGGGCCAGCGCCAAGTTCATGTACCAGTTTCAACCATGCGAACCAGTTGTCTTCTCCCTCAAGGAACGATAGTTCGATAATACGTAGACGAAAAATAATCTCTGAAGCGAGCCATGCGCCAGACCACATAAACGTGTTCGAGCACAGGATAGTCTGGGTTGCGCAATGTTACTGCATCCATAGAACATCGCGTGTTTGGATGAAGCATTGAGCAGGGCCTGTATGCATGCCAACTAGGTTATGGCTATACCAGCCATGCGTTTTGTTGACTTCATTAAGCTAACTCTTTAGCCGTTTGTTGTTCTGCGTATCTGATGGCGGGCAACGCTGGCTACTCATAACTCTTATTGCTGAGGGAAGGACGGAAGGACAGTGCGAGAAACTGTATAATGCAGAGGCACGGAAACGGGAAAGAGAAAGCACGCCGTCAAGTTAGGGGCTGATCTGCCAGATCCAGCATCGGTGGCTTGTGTTCTGCTTTTGTCTACCAGTAAAGCCTAGAGGGCGTACTTCGTATAGCAAGACTCAAGACACATGTGTCGAAACCGATCCGGCTGTCGTTAGCTGTGGTTTATGTGGCGATGCATGTACTGGCTGAGTAAAGTGCTGACACTGCAGCGCAATGTCAGCATCCAGCGATACAGTGCGAGGTCAGCACTCTACCCAATGATATAATAACTGCCAGGCCGGCCCCTCCCGGGATCAAATACTGTCTTTTCTGCGCGCACAGGCCGTGCGGCGGCCTATGATGAAGCATGTCGGGACGGACTCGACCAGTCAAGCCTCTTATTACTAGTGAGCAATTGAGCAATCATTGCGTGCCGAGCGGATGAGATGGGCAATGCTCGGCGCGGTCGCATGTTGAATGCACTCGGGTTTTCTATTTTGTGGCTTTCTGCAGGTGTAGGACACGAAAGCAACAAGCCCTTTCTCGCTTCTCAACTGGGTACTAGCCACCGTATGAGGGGTTGAACTAGCTCGTCAGAAGACGTCGGACATTCGTAGCGTTGTACTCCGAGCGGGCAGAATGACGCTCAAACTCGTTTGACTCGCTCGACTCATGATGCCAAGGCCAATGAAATGGAAATGGAAAGCGAACGCAAGAGTCGTGGGCTTTTGCTGGCAAATTTGGGCTTGGGAGAAAGCATGCTCGAGGGCCCCCGCTTTAGCTGGAGGCCTGATCTATGAGGCACAGACATTCTTCGCAGGCCTCAACTGCGCGAAACAAGGTGATCCCCAGCACACCACCCAATGGCAAGCATCACCGAGCGCCAGAACCTGCCCTGTGGTACCTGTGGCGGCTCGTGGTGCCCTGTAGGTGGACTCTTGCATTGCTGGGGAGGGGGGCCAGTCTCCTCTTTCAGGGCGAGCCAGCGCCAACCACAGGGCCTCCGGGTCCCCCGGTACAGGTCATTTGAGGCCCCCGAGGCCGCTAATTCGGACAGGAGAGCCGCCAAGCAGTTGGCCGCCTCTGGAAAAATGGTCCTACTAATAAGTTAAAACTGGCCTGCAACTTTATAGGCTGGCGTTTCCTTCGGCCGTCTCGAGACGGTGATTTTTTGAACAAGAGTCCCACTCTTCGACTGGCTGAGAGCTGCGCTGCGATTTCTCAGCTCCGCTCACACGTCCTGTCGCCTGTTTCCCTCACCCTTGGGCCTTTCCGCTGGCTCGCCTGCAGGTCTGCCCGCGTTTCTCCCCTAGACTGGTCGGTCGGCCTGGCTCAGCCTCTCGATCCCCCCGTGTCAAGTTCCATGCCAACCACCACTCCTGATCATCACAACCGCCCGCCCACAAACGCTCGCTCGCAGAGTCTTCGACTCCTCCACCGTCCTGGCCTCCTCCATCATCGCCCATTTGATGGACGCGCCCATCCGCTCCCGACCGCACCTCATTTCGATCCATCCTCGCCGACCGTAACACCCGCCTGCCATCGTACAGAGCCTGCGACCGCTCCCCCTCTCCTTTGGCCTGGCTCTGCCTAGCCAGACTCGCCCAGCCAGCGAGTCCGTCGGTTCCGCCAGCGTGGCTGCCCTCCTCCTCGATTGAGTGAGGACCGCAGTCCGCCTTCCGCCGTTCGAATTCGACCGCCAAAATTCGCCTTTCGATTTCCGATTGCCGCTTTTTTGATACCCGGCTGCTGCGCCCTCGCACACGGCGCGCGCCCCTGCCATGGACAACTCACGCCGTGCCTCTGGCGGCAGCCGCCGGCAACGCTCCTCATCGACGTCGAGTACCACCTCAACAGCTTCATCTGTATCCTTTATGGCCGAGGAGGACTATGATTTGATGGCTAGTGCTGCCATCCCTGATGGCTTTCGACCCTCTCGTCCTGTCCCCAACCCGTCCGCCGCCCGACGTCCAATGCCCCCTCTCGCCGGCCCTTTACTGCCGCCGCCTCAAGCAGTCAATCCATCGTTCTCCAAATGGAATCATCGGCCTTCTAGCGTTGCCAAGGCCCCCAGACCGCACGATTCACTCACAATTCGTGCCGACGGTTCCAATGCCCCCAACACTACTCAAGCCAATGGCAATGGCGTCCCGCCACTGCGTGTCGAGGCCCCGTACCGTGGCCCCTCGAATCCTGTCCATCCCTACGGCATGTATCCTCAACGGACCGCCAGTAACGCTACCGACCGAAGCGCCCGTGGCAATCGTCCATCGTCATACACTGGCCCTCGCGGCCCAACTCACCCGTACACGCTCTATACCCAGGGTACTGCAGCCGCACCTGTCGAGGCCAATCAACAAGCCATTCCGGTCGGGTTCACTGGACTGGCCGCGCCATATGAACGTCAGATTGGACCTGATGGCGAAGATATTGGGGATCTACTGGGGCCCCTTGGACACACGGAAGAATTGCCTCCTTATACACGATACCCCGAGGTCGCTTTTTCTACCAAGCCAGCGCCAGGCGTTGCTACCGCCATCGGCTCTTCATCAAACCCGACACAGCATACACAAGAAGCAGAGGCTTCGAGTAGCGAGCCGGCTGCTGCCGCTGCTGTCGTTTCCGAGACAGAAAACCCTGCCGACGCCGCCCCAGAGAATCCGTTCTCCTCCGCTGAGGACGACCTTGTACGGATGAACTCGACGCGGTCAAGACGTTCCAACAGAACCGTATCCACTTATCGCGACAATCCCTCCTCTGACGACTTTCTCTCCGAAAAGGAGCCTCATATTCAGACAAAATGGCAACGCAGGGCGAGACGAAAACTCTGGGGTGTCATCCCATACTGGTCTATTTGCCTCGTTTTTGTTGGTCTTATCTTGGGTAGTATCATGGGTGCAGTTGTCGGAACTATCTTAACAAAGAAGAGCTCGAGCAAAGACCCGCCGCCTCCAGCGCCTACGACGCCTTTACCAGTACCTGATCACAACCCGAGCCCGACGTCCGTTGACATCCAGCCACTGCCAACCGTTCCCAACCTGTTATTGCCATTGCCTCTCGGCCGTTTCTCTCTTCCTCAGATGGATGGTGGCCCCCCGCCTAGGAAATTCTGCGTTAGCGACACTAGTCAGCTTTCAGCCTGGAGTTGTAACATGGCTTTCCGATTTTATGCCATCGATATTATTAAGGAGCCACAGCGAGCGTCTACGGAGAGATATAATATGACGCTCACACCTATCAACAACACACAGTCACAACTGCTATGGGGCACCCAACCGCCTTGGATCAAAGATCCAATCAAGCTAAGGCTTGTCAACGACAGCATGGAAGGGGATACGCGCGGACCCGCTTGGTGGACGTCTGTTACCTATGACAAGACTGTCGTTGTCCGGGATGCCGACCTATCTCCAATTCACAAGCGGAGTTGGCCCTTTTCTGGGCTTCCCGTGACAGCGGCCGCTGCCACTTCACGAAAGGCGAGGCCCTACCAACCCCGACCTGGAGATTGCATGTGGATTTGCACTTGGCCACAGACGGTGCTAGAGATTCTTCTCTACCCAGGCCAAAATGTGACCACAAAGCCGAGCGCTTCGCCGACTCTAACTTACTCGTCGTCGCCGCCGCCGTTGCCGACCCGCACAAACCCTGCTGCCGGTGATTCGAACTATGGCAATTTTGACTTGAACGAGATGCCCCAGGATCCTTTGTCGCCGTATCCTCAGCTTGTCAGACTGATTGAACGCCGTACGGCCAATAGCCGGCCTGCCACGTGCCTCAGGTACATAATGAACCCCGGCGGCAACATTGAAGCTCAAAGTTACCCCGACGGCTCACCGATGAGGATTACTATTTCCGAGAGCGCCAATACTATTCGCAACAGTGATCGGTCCCCCAAACCTCCTGATGGCCCGCTTGGCGACAGCCATCGGGAGGTGGATGAGGAACGACTGGGGCTCACAGGTCGGGAATCCCTTCAATTCACACCTTGCGGCTGCCTTTGGTCACAGTAAAAGACAAAATGGGCCTTCTTTTTTTTCTTAGGTGTTTGCCGTCGTATTGTTGTCAAAAGAGCGATAAACACGGCGTTTTGATATCTTTACGGAGCATTTGCAGGGTTTTCTCTAGAAGTCTACATGTGACTTATATTTCCTTTTCCTTTCATCAATGGCTGGGCGTTGTTTCTTCCTCTCACTCCCTTCTCTTTATGACGACCTCTCTATCCTTGCTTCTCAGACGGGAGAAGACAAAGGAAGAATATGAATGACTGGTTGTGTATTTCTTTATCCTCTTTCTTTCCTCATTTGCATTGGCCGATGAGTCGGACTCGTCGCAAACATTGAAAATAGCAGTTGGTGGTGGATCACGGGTGTATGTACGTTGCTGGAACAGCATGAGTGAACAAATATAACAAGACACAATATTTGAACAAGAAAGCTCTGTCGGTTCCTTTTGTAATGGTAATGCAGCTTGTGTACTTAGTTTGTCTTGTTTGTACAAAGTCTATGTAGAACTAATCTCGTCAAGAGTCCTCGTCCCTCCACGTGGCTGAACTTGGGGCCTGTCTATGTCTCAATGTATGATGCCATCTGGCCAGCGGTAGCGGTCTGTCCGGAAATGACCAACCACCGTGTTTCCTCTACAGAAAGTGGTCGCCCATGTGGTGTGCGCAAGACCTCTGCCTGGGACACAGAAAGACGCACGATTGAGGTCGCATCCGACTCTTCCATACGAAGCTGTCGGCATCATCCGCGCGACGCACACCGTTCTGCCCAGTTTGACGCGAGGACGGCTCGCCGAGGAAGGGCGCCGCTGTCGCAGCTGTTTCATTGTCTGCCTTGACTCCGAAGGCCAGTCACGTCGCCGGCGGGGCAGACGCCTCCTCGGCGACACTCTCCGACACGGCGGCGTCGGCAGCGCTGCTGCTGGCCTCACCCGAAGGGCCGGCGCCCTCGGTTGGCTGCACCTCGTTGCCGATAATGTCCTTCTTGCCGTCGCGAAAGTCGCGCATCAGGGCGAGGAACACCGAGTTCTGCCACTTCTCGCCGCTCTCGTGCTGCACCGACTCGAGCAGCCGCTCGGCCGCCTCGGACACGGCCGACTTGCTCCGCGCGTCGTCGGCGAGCATGTCAGCCACCGTGTTTTCCTCCTCCAGCGGCTCCGGCGGCGTGACGGTGGGCGCCTCGCGGCTGTCAAGCGACAGGTTGTTAATCTCCGGGACGCCGAGGTCCGAGAAGTGCCCCTCGTCTTGCGTGGCCGCGGTCGCCGCGTCCGCGTCCGCAAGCGCCTGATCGTTGAGCTCGAGCTCGCGCGCCATCTGCTCCATGGCGGCGTCGACCTGCGCCATGTTCCCCGAGGCAGCCGCGTTGCTGGCCATCCACTTGGCCATCTCCTGGTCAAAGTCGGCCTCGCCAGCCGCCGCCACCGGCTGCTGCGCGTACGCACCGCCCGCTGGCGCGAAGAAGGGGGAGAAACTGCCCGCGTGCGACGGCGCGAATGCGCCGTGGAAGCCACCCATCTGCATGGGGTTGGCGGCACCGGCAAACGCGGGACCGCCGGGCCGTTGCTGCGGCTGCTGTCGCTGCGGCTGCTGCGCAGCAAAGCTGGCAAAGTCGGCCGCCCAGTTGCTGCTCATGCCCGGGGCAGCGGCGTGGGATGCGTGGTATGTGAGCTCGGGGGCGACTGACGGGCGAAAGGCGCTGGCCGAGGCTTGGGCGGGATTCAAGGCGGCGGCGTGGGCGGCGAGGCGGCCCGCGGGGTCGTGGGGCATGCCTGGCAGACCGGCCGGCGTGCCCATGAAGGCATCAAACTCTTGGGGACCTTGCGCCATGTTTTGAGACTGCGATCGGAAAGCCTGAAAGCGGGAGCGCCGCCTTGTTAACACCCCTGTAGATAGGCTAGATGGCGGTTGGAAGTACGTACTCCGAGGGGCTGGCTGCCGTTGACTAGACGGTCTTGGTGATGGCTGACATCGCGGGACTGGTGATCTATGAGCTGCTTGAAGGGCGTTCCGCCACTGCACGAAGCTTCCGCCATGGCTGCTGATGTGAAGGTGGGTGGCTTGCGTTGTCGGATGGGATGGAGGGAGGAGGATCAAGTGCCGCGGCTGGGATGCGTCCTTGTGAGCTGTGACTGGGGGTGAAGAAAAGGCCGTGTTTTGATCGGGTAACGACGATATTATTCAAACGGCAGAGAGAGGGTTGAATTCCAAGAAGTAGACCAAGAGAAGCGTACTAGGTGTGTATTGAAAGATTGAGGTAAATGTAATCTTGGAGCGAGCAGATGACAAACGGAGCCGAGGCCGTGGCAAGTAATAAGCTGGGGCCGGGCGCAACAGGGTGGAGCCTTTTCGGGCGGAACTGGCCTGTGACTGTCGTCGCTTTGAAGGTTGGCTGGCGATGCCCCGAGGCTGGGACAGGCATGGGCTATCTGCTCAGCTAATAATAATAATGGGCATTGATCCCGGGGGAACGGACTTGGAGTACTTGCTGCGAGGGGCTGTAACCTTTGCACGGTTTTCTGGCGATTTTTGAGCACCGCCAATTCTCACTGGAAGGTGCACTACTTTGCCCAATAACGAAGACGATCGACCACACACTGAGCCGCACCGCCTGCCGCTTCTTCTACACAAGGCTGCATCTGTGGCTCAGGTGGTCTTCTCCAAGCCATGTTCTCCCGCCCCCAACCTGGGGACGATTTATGACGGAATCAATTGTCGCAGAAATGCGTCGTGCACACCAAGGGCAACACAGATGTTATCCTACCTATGCATCTACATGCCCCTACGGACCGTCTCCAAAACATGACTCCCAATGGTGAGCAGCAACAGGAGACTGTAACTATACATCGAGATCCATCATCGTTTCCCCTTTTCCAGGAGCTGCCGCCTGAAATCCGCCACTATGTCTGGCAAGAGGCGCTCTGCCAATGGGTGGTCTGGTACACGTCGCACCCACACATCAATCTCCAGGCCAGTGGCCTCCTCATACGTATGAAGCCTGTTGGCGTAGCGCCATATCTCGTTGGTCTCGCCTGCCAGGAGTCGCGGCGTCTGATGGAGAGACTTTACACAAAGCTACTTGCTGGCGCCGGCGGCTCTGGGGCGTCGTCACCCACCGCTGTGTACTGGTTGATACCGGATCGTACCATCGTGTATCTGGGCTGCACCGCACGCGCCACCGATTTCATGGACATCATCCACGCCCATCAGAGCTTGCCACTAAGACATCTGGTGCTTCGCTGGTCCGATCTGGTTGATGTGACTCGCTTCAGCCATAGTCTCGTCCACCAGTGTCCCGACCTGCGGACGTTTACCCTCCACGCTACTGACAGAGAGACAACACCAGAGCTGTGCCGCTGCGATTCGCCGCTCAGCCAGCACCTCGCCGATTGGTACACTACCATTGCATCCTGGGAGGATGAGGCGCTTCCATATATAGAGCACCCTGAAGCAGAAATGTTAAATTGGAGCGTGGGAGACTATTTCGGAGATCGCGATGAGGAGTTTGAGGGACCGAGACTGCATTTTCTCCCATCCCGGCTTGAAGCATCAGCAGCATTAGATCGGGTGCCGGGCGATTAGCTTGGCGAGATTACAGTGCTGCCAACCTGGTCTCAGTGCCGAGGTGTTGTGTTCTTCTCGTTGCACTGCATCTGACTTTCTGGCATTCTGCGTTGGTCACACTAGGGCCCCATGTAGAAATTGAACAGAAGTACTGTCAACGACAAAATCAAATCCAGATTGTTTGCGAACACTGCGTTGCGGTTGCGAACCGTAAGTTTGAAGTAACTTATCTAGTAGCCTTGAATCTTGCACAGTATAAAAATGGGGCTTTCGTCACGTGCAGCTGTCCCTTTGCCATCTGTCCCCATCACTACCAGGCGACCGAGCTACCACTGCGCTGGAGTTTGACGGTCACTGTTCTCCCCTGGGCTATATCAAGCTTCCCTTACTCTTTAATCAACCGACTTCTGGTGTCGCAATAATCATGGTACTGCCGAATCCCCTCTTCGATGCGAATCGCGGTCAATTCTAGCCCTGGAAGCTAACTAGTGCATAGGCGGCGCAAGTCATCTCCAACTCCGGCCATGATGATATGATTGTATGTACGATTTCTCAAAGCCTTCTCCAACGACCACCTCGATTTGCAGCGGCGAGCTGCAGAAGCTGCTTCGCTCGTCTTGCATTGCAAAAAATCCTGACTCCTGTCTTCGAATTGCGACATCGCCCAAGCTAACAAGAAGCACCCCGCAGCATGATGCCGTCCTCGATTACTACGGTCGCAAGCTAGCTACTTGCTCCAGCGATCGCACAATCAGGATTTTTGAAATCGAAGGTGATACCCAGCGGTTAATCGAGACCCTGAAAGGGTGAGTTCCCGGTCCTACCCCACTTCCCCGGCTCAGCTTCGACCCGCGACTGTAAACTACGAAATAGAGCGACCGATTAACGAGTTTCGAATTCAGTCACGAGGGGGCTGTCTGGTGTGTTGCCTGGGCTCACCCCAAGTACGGCAACATTCTCGCGTCGGCCGGTTATGACGGCAAGGTATTCATCTGGAAAGAACAGGGCCCGCAGCACCAATGGCAGCGTATCTACGACTTTCCGCTCCACAAGGCCTCAGTCAACATTGTTTCGTGGGCGCCTCATGAGGCCGGTTGCCTGCTAGCCTGCGCTTCCTCGGACGGAAACGTCAGCGTTCTCGAATTCAAGGACTCAGCATTTGACAACACTACCTTCCCGGCCCACGGCCTCGGGGTCAACTCCGTCTCTTGGGCTCCCGCGACCGCTCCTGGCAGCATTGTCAGCAGCTCCCCGGGTCCTGCCGCCGCCGGTAACCGTCGCTTCGTCACTGGTGGCAGCGACAACCTCGTCAAGATCTGGGCTTTTGACCCCGCCTCGCAGTCGTACAAGCAAGAAGGAGAAGCCCTCACCGGTCACTCGGATTGGGTCCGTGATGTTGCCTGGTCTCCTACTGTTCTCAAGCGGTCGTACATTGCTTCGGCCTCACAGGACAAGACAGTTCGCATCTGGACCTCGGATTCGACGGCCGGCAGCGCGGCTCAGTGGGACTGCAAGACGCTGGATTTTGAGGCACCCGTCTGGCGTGTGAGCTGGTCCCTCAGCGGCAACGTACTTGCTGTTAGCGGTGCTGATAACAAGGTATCACTGTGGAAGGAGAACCTTCGCGGCGAGTGGGAGTGCGTCAAGAAGATTGAGGATTAAGAGGCTTGCTGGAAGCAAGAGATGCCCACACCAAAACCATATGTCACATACAAATTACGCCGAGTTCCCTACGAAGGAGTTGATCGGAAATTTTTGACGGGGAAGGGGAAGGGGAAGAGGGAAAATAATCGGAGTTTTCATGGCCGGACCAACACCAAGCGAGCCGGGGGTGGTGAGGCGAGTGACGCTGCCCCTAACGGATCTGATATAGAGAAGGCCAAATTCGGGCGTAGGCCGAACTAGAACTATACGTGTAATGAGTCTCAATTAAAAAAATATCAAGTCAGTTTTTCGTACGCATTCTAATTTCTTTAAATGGCTGTCATATCTGCGGATTATGTATATTTTTTATAGTACCGATCCCTCATACCTCATAATCATGACGAACGAAAGCCAGCCAATGCTCGCCCTCGCCAGACCCCAATTACGATAAAAGAGCAGCAACGGCAAGGGCCAGAGCAGTCACCGCAGCAAGACCTGGCATGCCGCGACCCGCGGCGGCGCTCTTCCCGTCCTTGCCGCCTCCCGAGCTTCCGTCGTGCTGCAAGACGAAGATCTCGCCCGTGCTGTCCGACGACAGCCACAACCTCCCCTTGGCGTCCCACGCCAGCCCGACCGGCCGGAAGCACTTGTCCGGGCAGTTCGACAGGTCCTTTGTCGCCAGCACGTCCACCGCCGCGTCCATGCTCGTCCTCCCCGCCGTCGGCCGCCCATCCGCGCCAAACGCCACGCTCGCCACGCGATACCCGACCGGCGCGTCCCTGTCCCAGCTCCCGTGGAACGACACGTAGGCGCTCCCGCCCGCGGCGTCAAACTTGACGTCCAAGGGCGCGGCGTGCGCCTGGAAGGCGAGGCGCGGCGCGACGTACGCGTCGTTGCACGCGGCATCGGTGACGTTGCCGGGGGCGTCGTCGTCCGGGAACTGCGAGGCGGTGGCGAGCGCGCCCAGGTCCGGGAAGTCGGTCGCGTTCCAGATGGCGTAGCACACCGGGTAGCCGTAGTTGCCGCCCTGGTCGTCTGAGCTGCCCAGCACGCCGTGGTAGTTGAGCTCCTCGGCGGGGTTGTCCTGGTGGATGTCCTGGCCCTTGCGGCGCAGCTGGTCGACGGAGTTTTCGACGGACCAGAGGCCGCCGGTCTTGGGGTGCTCGGCGACGCCGACGGAGTTGCGAAGGCCCCAGCCGATGACGTGCCCGTCGAGGAAGTCGTGCGGCGTGGAGGAGGAGGAGGAGAGGTCGAAGCTGCGGATCTGGGAGTGCCCGGAGGAGAGCTGCTCGGCGTCGGCGTCCTCGTTGGACTGGCTGCCGCGGGAGACGAGCAGGGTGCCGGGCTTCTTGCGGGAGAGGAGGAGCGTGCGCGTGGTGTGGTCCGAGGTGCTCATGTTGGTGACGACGGTTTGGTTGGTGGAGGAGAGGGTGACCGCGGAGGCGTCGTACGTCCAGGCGTAGACGTTTTCCGCCGACGAGGCGTACAGCGTCTTGCCGTCGTCTGTCAGGGCGATGCCGTGGTTGAGCTAGACAGGCAAGTCAGCTGGCCGAAAAAAGTTACCCGGGGGGGGGGAGGGGGGGCGAGGAATGGGCTCACCTCTTTGCTCGCGAGGAGCGTCGTCTTGTTGGCGACGGAGACGCAGGTGCCGCCCTCGTCCTTGAGGCTCAGATGAACGAGGCCGGCGCCGGCGTCGACGACCAGCAGCCCACCGGAAGGGTCGAACTGGAGGCCGCGCGGCTTAGTGAAGCCGTTGGCGACGAGCTGGAAGGACCAGCCTGGGGCGGCCTCGGGCGGCGGGTAGCTGACGGCAAGCTTGTTGGAGCAGTCGGCCGAGACGGCGTGAGCAAGGAGCAGTGCCGCGGCGACGGAGGATTTCAGAGTCATTGCTGCTGCGAGTCTATGTTGTGATGGTAAAGAAGCAAGTCCTGCGGGAGTTGGTGTGGCTCCCCTCGATTCTCCTGTCCGGAACCGAATGAGAATGCGGGGCCGGGTTTCGGGTTGGTGATGGCGGCCGGGTACGGGAGACGGGCAATGTCTCTCCTTTGTTGCTGATTGACACTCGGAGCCCGACGGTAAGAAAAGGATGAAGAGATGTGAGGCTTTATCTCATCCGCCTTGACTCTTCAGCTCACCGTTCAAGAGAGAGAAAAAAAAAGGGCTTAAAGCTGAACGGCGCGGAGCGGGGCAAGGCACGGAGTATTTAGCGTGGAGGGGCAGCAACCTGGAGAGTTTCGTCAGGGACAAGGCGTTGGCTTTTCTGTCGCGGTGGCGGCGGGTAGGGCAGTTTAATAATTCAATATTTCAACAATCGAGTCATTGTGTGCACGATTGTTGCTTTGTCCATCATTCGTTACTAGGACAGCCTCACTGGACAGGTCCGTGGCCACGTCCGGGCCCCAGGCCATGAAATTGCCTATTTAGGTAGGATGCCGATGGGTATGCGGGGGGTCCCCTTTGTCGCGCCAATGAGGCCGGAGTAGATGTATTTGAGCAGCGCATCTGCTGCCTGGAATTGATCCATGTTGTGGCGGATAGGACTTGTGGGAAATTTCGTGCTGAGAGTTGTAGTTAGGTGCTGAGAGTTGTAGGTGCTGAGAGTTGTAGGCTTGGTAATGGTTTCGGCCAAGAGTCATCTCCTTCACTAGGTTTGTGCCTCCTTACACAAACATCATCTTCAGACACACTTTTATTCGCTTACAGAAAACTCCATTTTCCCAAAGTTTCGCCATGGCTGCCCGTAGAAACCCTATACAAATTTCTGCCGTGTGGAAAAGATATTGCAACCACTTGTCGTCCGCTCTGCAACGTCCCTCCATCCACCCAACTGTAGGCGGTCAGCTATCTACGTACCATGTAGGCGAGGCGTATCTCGGTCCGCTTTATCCTCATCACCCTCAATGTTGTAGGTAACATGAGAAAGTTTGACTCTATCCCTCGAGCGGTCCGTCGACTCGTTCTCGCTGTGTCATGGGGGTAGAACCCTGAGAGCACACGATGCTTCCTTTGGCACTGTACAACCAGGTCCCGGACGGTTCTACTTGGAGGAGGAAATGGCCTGAGTCGAGCTCATCGGTAGCGGGGAGTGGTTGGCTCTTTGCAACTAAATTACAACTGCACGAGAAGACGACACAAAGAACCTACTTTAAATCTGACGCTGCATTGAACTATACTGTACCATACCAAGTAAAGTGTTTCTAGAACCGCATCTTTGGTAGGGTTGAAGGAGCTGAATAAAACAGCGATGAGCAGATTGATTGGTTTCGGGTAGCTTCCAGCCAACTCCAACATCCGAGCCCGGCAGACCAACACGTCGTCCATAACAACTGCTTTCCGCTTTGCAATCAATCTATCATTAGAAAGAACGACTCGCTTCTTCAACGCCTTTGTATGTCGGCGCAAGAGAGAATCCGATAGCCTGCTGTTGTACTTGCCATGCCTTGGACAAAAAGTGTCAGCGACGCCCTCTTGAAAACGGATGTGCGCGTGCCAACCTACAGCTTCTAAGTTGAACTGCCCGAGCAGTCGCAGACGGCCATCCAATCATGCTTACGCAGACTCGTTGCGTCGCTTCGGCAGCAGCCTTTAGGACATTCCCAAACAGGTCGCCACCATTTTTCTTCGGAATCGCAGTACAAGATGAAGGTGTTGGAATCGTCGCAAGTGGTGAACGCCTTGTCCTTGTTGGGTTGGCAGGACTTGTGAATCTTGACGTTGGCAATGACAGCAGGAGCCACCATGATGGTGACTGCCATGAATGAGTGGATTATTTGCATGTTTTTTGTATGTTGATGAACTTGCTAATCGACTCTCCAACTCAACTCTTGGGGGGGGAGCAGAACCACCAAGCTTTATACGCGCGGGGATGAACCGCCGAGGCGGCGGCTGCACTCTTGTGATTTGTTTCTTTCGATCAAGGTACAACTCGAGCGTATGCATGGTTCTTTGTTGCATTATTCTTGGCGTGAGGACTGACCCGGGAAGGTGACACCATTGAGGCTCTTGAGGGCTGTCGGCTGATGCCCAAGTGAGTTGTCTTGCCGCCGCAGGCAGACAAATTTTTAGAAATCCTTGGTCATGGGTTTCCTGAAACGGAGAGAGACGAGTACTACAAAGAGACTCGGGCGCTTGTGTACCGCTGTGTGTGACTGTGACCCGTACAATACAGAAATAAAGGCGTTAGCGAGGCGTCAAAGGGACCGCCTACATATAGCACAAAAAGTCAACTATTTATACACTGTTTCCTCGTGGCCGTCATACCCTCATGGTCGTCTCTTTCAGCATTACTGAAAGAACAAAGGTCTTCAGTTTCACTACGGATGATGGATTCCGGCCATGTCCGTGATACTCCTACCTAGGCACAACCTCCTCACACTCTGGACATCCCACTATTGTAGTATTATTACGCGCATATAGCGTCGCTGGGCTGTCACTTTGAAGATGAGTAGCCTACTGTAAGCGCCTTTCCGACAGCAGTTGGAAGCCCCAAGAGGTACATCATCACCAGGGCCTACTCCTAGGTCTCTTGCGAGGCAATGCAGAAGCATGAAATGCAGCCATTTCCTTGAAATATCCTACCCCATTACTAAACCTTGTCGCCATCCAGGATCGGCCTCGCCTCCTCGCTCGTCCACCAGCTCACGCCCTGCTCCCCCGGAAACGCGAACCTGTCCATGCTCTCCGCCTTCATCTCCACGCTGTACCCGGGCTCCGTCGGCGTGCGGTAATACCCGTCCACCACCGCCGACGGGTGCAAAAAGTGCTCGTGCAGGTGGTCCACGTACTCGAGCACCGAATGCTTGCCACTGACCACCACATAGTCCACCGTGCTGAGGTGCTGCGTGTACTCCGGCAGCCCGACGCCCCCCGAGTGCGGCACCACCGGCACCCCAAACTTCCTCGCCATCAGCAGCACCGCCAGCACCTCGTTGACGCCGCCCAGCCGGCACGCGTCCACCTGGCACACGTCGATCGCGCCGCTCTGCAGGAGCTGCTTGAAGACGACCCGGTTCTGGCACATCTCGCCCGTCGCGACGCCGATGCCGTGCGGCTTCAGGGCGTCGCGGATCGTGCGGTGGCCGAGGATGTCGTCCGGCGAGGTCGGCTCCTCGATGAACCAGGGCCGGAAGTCGCGGAGCTGCTGCATGTAGGAGATGGCCTCGGGGACGGACCACACCTGGTTGGCGTCGACCATGAGTACGTTGCCGCGGTCGTAGCCGATGACCTCGCGTGCAATCGCCAGACGTCGGCGGTCCTCCGCGACGCCGCCGCCGACCTTGAGCTTGAAGTGGCGGTATCCGGCCGCCAGCGTCTCCCGCAGCAGCCGCTTCATCCGCTCCTCGTCGTAGCCGAGCCAGCCGGCGCTCGTCGTGTACGCGGGCACCGCGCGGTCCGCCAGCGCCTCCTTGATACGCTCCGCCTTGCCCGGCTCCGCATCGCGCAGGATGGCGAGCGCTTCCTCGGGGGTGACGGCGTCGGTGATGTAGCGAAAGTCGATGCACCGGACGTACTCCTCGGGGGTCATGTCGGCGATGACGCGCCACACGGGCTTGCCGAGGACCTTGGCCCAGAGATCCCAGGCGGCGTTGACGACGGCGCCGAGGGCGAGGTGGATGACGCCCTTCTCCGGGCCGATCCAGCGTAGCTGGCTGTCGGAGACGAGATATCGCCAGGTGGCGCCCCAGTCGGCGACGAGCGAGGCGAGCGTCTTGCCGCGCAGGCGGTCGGCGACCTGGTGGATGGCGGCGCAGACGATGTCGTTGCCGCGGCCGATGGTGAAGGTCTAGAAAAGTATTAAGAGTTGCTGCTTAGCCTTGGACGCTCGATAATGAGGGGAGGTGCGGGGAACATACCATGCCATGGCCGGTGTATTCAGAGTCGGTTTCGAGAATGCAGTACGCGGCGGAGTAGTCGCCGGCGGCATTCATGGCGTCGGAGCCGGTCTTGTCGAGTGACGTCGGGAAGCGCACATCGCGGGATCTGAAGCCGGTGATTGTGATGTCGGTCATTGTTGAGGTAGATTGCGGGGGCGGGGGAGGGGCAGGGAGGGGAAGGGTGTCTGAGGGAATCAGGTGAAGAGGTGAGCGAGACTGGGGAGGGGGGAGAGAGCATCTATTTGAATCGGTGGATGAAAGCTGATAGAATATTTAATGACTTGCAGGGTTCCCCAACCTCGCGTGTGGGTTTAAGAAGCGTCGGGAGATAAATCAGGACGAAATCGGGACAGACCACCGGCATCCGGAGGCGGCTCCAAGGCCGAAGTGGGGGGCCGGATGGGGGGTCATCGACCACGCGGCTGTCCGACGTCGGCCTTTTAATGCGGTGCAAGACGGAACTCGAGGTTTGATCTTGCTCACTTTTAGACTTTGACGGCATTTGATTTATGTCTCGGGCTTGACAGGCCCTGATACCATGGGATCAGGAACGGCAACTATACTGTTACTGCCTTACATTTACAAACAACCGGTCTCTGCGTGTGGTTACTGAATATCTGCTACGCCCATGTACTATAGTAGCACAATTGACTGGTGAATCCGATTGCTTTCTTTGAGTTGCTGGTGAGTGACAAAAGTCATTGCGGACAAGACTCCGCATCGTCGTACTCGTGCTCCTCTCGTTATTCAATGCAGCATCATGACATGACAGTGGATTGATTGGTGGATTAATAAATGAAACGCCACAAGCCATCTTTTGTTAGTTATACCTATCCGTACTCACTAATAATAAACACGCCGAACAAACAATTAACCGCTTTCTCCCCCCATTCGACCTCACTGATCATCGTCCCCCGCATCCTGCACTCCACCACACATCCGTGCATTATCCCGACGGCTAAACTTGGCACTGTCTTGATGGCCGCAAAGCAACATGGCAGAGCAAGCGCCAGAGCCGAGGGAGCAACACATTTTTCATCAGGAGCGCGGCTGTATGTAAATATCTGTATTCGTAACGAGTCCTAAAATCTCACTCATTTCCCACATCGTATTCAGCGACTATGACGCTAGACTTGGAGAAGCATCGTGCAGGTGCAGGAAATTAGTTAGTCAATTAGTGACTCAATCGCCTCAGCCTTGTCGCGATGCAATCATAAGGCTGTGGGCCGCACAATATTCTCCTACGAACCTTTGTCCCTCAACTCTCTGCAGCAGTGTCCCTTGAAACCATGCGCCCAACGCCAGTTGGCTCATTATCGGCGGCGCTGCTTCCCACGCTCTGCGCCGCCTGGGGTGGTCTTCTGGAACCAAATGGATTAGGACTGTCACCCTTCGATCCGGGGTCCAAGCAGTGGATCGACGCAGTCGCATCCTCCAATGCCTCCGCGTCCTACAAGGTAACCGGCCGCGACGTGACCAAGCCCTTCCCCGGGTCTGAGATGGATGGCTGGACAATCAACGTCACGGCTGTCGATCTGACCCCGTTCGAGCTCGGCTGGGATCTGAAGATCATGGCGCCCCCGTCTCTGTACAGCAAGGTGGACCCGGACAGCATCGCCAACAAGACCGTCGCTCAGAATGTGCGCAACGCCAACGGCCTGGTCATCGCAAACGTGGACCCAAGCTGGTTCTTCTGCACTTTCATCTCCATATCGGGAAGCACGTTCGGGAACAGCAGCCAGTCGAACAACCCGGAGAACAAGGAGACGAGGCCCGACGGCGACTGCAGCCCGTTCCTTTCCCAAAGCTGCATCGACGCCATCGAGAAGACGGCCTCCACCTCGTACGCGACCACTGATAGCCTCCCCGTGAACCCGTACGGCGCGCGAGGAGACTGTCGGGGCTTTGGCCTGCCCAAAGAATGCGGGCACGCATATTGGGACTTTGGAGGGGACTTTTGGAACCGTGAGTACCCATCCATCTCGCAGACTCAATCAGGTGCTGCGGCTCACTCATGGCATCATAGGACTCGAAGCTCCCACCGAGTACATGACGGGCGCCACGACCCTCGTGGACGGCTGGAAGTATGCCAGGGACAAGGAGCACGAGGATATCGACCCCGTACCGAGCGACGGTCCCTTGATGTGGAAGTCCACCACGCAAGACTTCATCGCCGTCGTCACCATGTTTGGCAAGTACAAGAACGGCACGTATCCGGACAATGCTGAGCCGGGCTTTGCGAAGCTGAGCTGCGTGCGGCCCGAGCCTCACGTTGGAAAAAGCGATCAAGGGAAAGGAGGAAACGCGACGGACGGAAAGGGGAAAGGCGAGAGCAAGGGCAGCGATGCGGGTGCTATTTCTGCCGTGTCTGGATTGCTCGTGGCGGCCGTGTTTATCCTTGCATTGTAAAAAAGAAAATTAATATTTAATACAAGATTCAGGAAAATAGAAAGGCAAAACGACAAATACACTTTTATTTTTGCAATAGCTGAAGACCTTCACTACGTCATGCTGGATTGGCAGCTGCTATGTACCTACTGTACATACAGTACATACATGGTTAGTTGTCTTGACAGTGGGGTTTAACATGGCGACCGTGAATTTCTAGACCAAACAAACGCTCATCTAGCCATGCTTGCCAACGGCATTCCGTCGTACAATTAACCCACCAAGCATTGGACACCAAGTATCGGCTTACTGTTCGCCATGGCTGACGAATATGGCGCCGATGATGCGCTACTTGCCGCCATGGCAGCCGCCGTTCCGACTCCTGCCTCACGACCTGCGCAGCCGCAACCACGGCCTAAGATTCAGCAGCCTACACCTCAGCGCCTCGACAAAGCACCTCCTGCGGCTTCAGCATCCGGAGCCAAGGTCGTACAGCCGACTCCCCAGTCGCTTCCTCCCAGACAAGGCGCTTCGAATATCCTCGTCTCGCCCCGTCAGCGCGGAAATCCGGTCCTGACACACATCAAGTCGATGCCGTGGGAGTACAGCGACATTCCGGCAGACTATACTCTTGGAGCCTCGACATGCGCGCTGTTTTTGAGGTACACTCTTCATTGTATCTACACACTTGGCAGTTGGGATTCCGTGCTCTAACAGGTTTCTGTCACAGTCTCAAGTACCACCGTCTTCATCCCGAATACGTCTATACCCGAATTCGAAACTTGCAAGGCAAGTATAATCTACGAATTCTGCTCACCATGATTGACATCCCAAACCACGAAGACCCCCTCCGCGAGCTGTCCAAGACCTCCATGGTCAACAATGTCACCATCATCTCGTGCTGGTCCGCCGCCGAGGCCGCTCGCTACCTGGAACTCTACAAAGCATACGAGCATGCCAGCTTCGACGCAATCCGCGGCAAGCAGTCATCCAGCTATGCAGAGCGCCTTGTCGACTTTGTCACGGTCCCCCGCAGCCTGAACAAGTCAGATGCCGTTGCCCTCGTGGCCAACTTCGGCAGCCTAAGGAACGCCATCAACGCCGACGCCGAGCAGCTCGGCATGCTCAGCGGCTGGGGCGGCGTCAAGGTCAAGCGTTGGACCGCCGCCATCGAGGAGCCGTTCCGGGCCAAGAATGCGTCCAAGCGGATCCTGCCCACCGGCGACGCTGCCGCCCTGGCTGCGCTGGCCGAGCCCGGAGCCGCAGCCGGCAGGGCATCGCGGCTGGAGGAGGCAGTGCCGCTCTCTCGTGTGCCATTGAGAGACATGCCGGCGGCGAAGGCTGCGGAGACGACCCCCGAAGCAGGCGGGGCGTTGAACTCGGGCAAGCAGTTCCAATTCCGTGGCGACACGGACGACGAGGATGACGAACTGGAAGCCGCCGCGACTACCGCTTCCAACCCAACACAGACGGCCAGCGAGCTAGCGCAGCGCGAAGCTGACAAGCCTGAAGAGCTTCCTGATGGAATTGCGGCTGCGTTGGCAAAGCTTCGCAACTGAGCAGCCTTGCGCGTTCTAATGAGGCTGCTGTTTACGGCTAGCTATATGCATTGGCCACATCACGCGGCCTTCCTTACTAAGGGGCCGCCGGCGCTGCCACTTTCAACAATCAATCTAGAACCTTCCTCGCCAAGCGCGGCCCGACATCATACGCTTGCCTCAATGATGTAGACAGCCCCGCGTCAGTTGCCCATTGCCAGCTTAGGGCCAGCAGAAATTGTTTGGTCCGGCGTGTCTAGGCCTTGCCGGTGGATCGATAAAGGCCCAACTGCGCCGCAAAATTTATTTACTGTGGCTCTTTGGCTTTATGCTCTACATGATGCTGTATCGCGTCCTTGCGGATGGACATCATGTCCATCGCTAGGTACAATTCATTGGCACGGGCACCCAGCGCTTGCCCTGCAGCCTCAGCGCTAGGCAGGTTCATTTGCAGGTATTTGGCACATGCTTCGATAAACAGCTCCGCCCACTACTGGCCCAGATGCCACACTGTATTTATTCCCAGTGTTATAAGTAGCTCTGGCCCGTCTTGTTTGCATGTTCTGGCTGCGCGCCCCGCCTGGCATCGCTTGCTTGCGCCACACAATGAAGGTCAAAATCACCAGCAGCGTCCTTTTAGGCCTTGCGTCTCGCGCGTTGGCCCTTCCTTCTGACCCTTCTCTCAAGGTAATCCCGGATTCTCAGTTGTCCGAACGTTCTTCCAAAGTATTCCCTCCAGTACCCGACTGGCGGGCCGAGGAGGTGAAGAGAGTTTTCCGGGAATCTTGGTTGGGGTACTACCGCCACGCCTGGGGATACGACGTGCTTCATCCTCGGCGGAGGGACGGGGAGGATGATCGGTAGGCCTACGGAAACCTAGCTCGAAGAGGCGATGCTGACCTTTGCCGTAGCAATGGATGGGCCCTTACGGTTATCGATGCTCTCAGCACAGCCATCATCATGAAGGATAAGAATGTTACTGCGAAGAGTGTCGAGATTATATCCACGTTGGATTTTGGCACCACTAAAAAACGAGCAGATCCCATTTCCGTCTTTAAGGCTACAGCTCACTACCTTGGAGGCCTTGTTGGCTGTAAGTTGCTGTGGATTGCCGCGTTGGGGGCGCAGATTACTGATCTAGACAGCGTATGGCATCCTCCACGGCAATATGCCTCCTGTCGAGGGCAAGGACAAGAATGGAAAATGGATGTTGGACCAGGCCAAGACTTTAGCCGACGGCCTGTCTGTGGCATTCGACGCGCCCACTGGTATACCCGACCCCACGGTCTACTTCAATCCCGCAAAGGTGAAGAGCGGCGCAGATCGCAGCAGCGCCGCCGAAATTGGCACTTTGCTTCTTGAGTGGACCTACCTCAGCGACCTCATTGGCGATGACAAGTATTACAAAATGGCCCAGAAAGCCGAGAACTATCTTCTGCGTCCCTACGGCGCTCCGGAAGCATGGCCCGGCTTGATCGGTACGTGGGTGGGCGTCAAGGACGGTGAGTTCAAGGACAGCAGCGGGGGCTGGGGCTCGCACATGGGCAGCTTCTACGACTACCTTATCAAGATGTACCTGTATGACCCCAAGTGGTTTTCTGAGCATAAAGACCGATGGGTCAAGGCTGCCGACTCGACCATTGCGTACCTCGCGTCTCAACCGTCCAGCCGATCCAACCTCACATTCCTCAAGTCGTACGACGGCCAGAGCACGACGGCCGAGTCGGAGCACGCCGCCGCGTTTGCCGGCGGCACCTTCATCCTCGGCGGCCTCGCCCTCAACGAGACCAAGTATATTGATTTTGGCCTGCAGCTCACGGATTCGTACTACCAGACGTACAAGACTCCGAGCGGCATCGGCCCCGAGGGCTTCCGGTGGGTGGACGCGCAGCTGGGCGGCTCGCCACCGAGCGACCAGGCCGGCTTTTACAACGAGTCGGGCTTCTGGGCGTCGTCGCCCGGCTGGGGGCTCAGGCCGGAGATGGTGGAGTCGCTGTACTATGCATACCAGGTGACGCGCGACCGCAAGTACCAGGACATGGCGTACGAGGTCTTCAAGACGGTGCGCAGCGTGTGCTGGTCGGGCGCCGGCTACGCGACCATCAAGGACGTCATGGCGCCGGACGGCGGCGGGTTCGACGACAGGATGGAGAGCTCCTGGCTGGCGAAGACGCTCAAGTTCTTGTATCTCATCTTTGTAGAGGAAGACAGTCGTCACTTCCTGAGCAAGGCGCCGTGGATGGAATATGTCTTTACCGCCGGCGGGCACCCAATTCGCACACGCAGGCACTAAGCAGTTGGACGAATGGGTCAGGGATTTGCTGTGTCTTTTTGGCGGAGAGTTTTCGGGGTGGAATATCCAATTCGGTCTGAGAAGCAATTGAGGTTGTCCTTTGCACAGATGTTGTTTAATTGGCATCTTGCAATTTTCAGCGCTGGCCAGTAAAGATGGCCAGTAAAGATGGCCAGTAAAGATGGCCAGTAGAGATGGCCCGTACACATTTGGATTCAGCCCGCTAGCTAGGTACAGTATGTACATACATAGCTTTAGCTGCTGAACCCACTGGGGAGCCCCGCTGAAGCTCAGCAAGGCCCCACTGTCCAAGAGCTCCCCACGATGTCTCGATTCTTCGATCCGCGGCGGCATCATTACGTCATGTATTTTTTTCCACGGACAGCCGTTTCTGGTCGTCCCGTTGACGGGAGTCGCGTCATGGTTTTCGCATACACGGTCGAAGAAGCAAGCGAGGTTAAGAGAGATAGAAAACAACTTTGGACCTTTAAAGAGAAAAAACTTGGATTATTGCAGACGTTAGACAACACCCCGTGTACATGGCTGGGTACCATCCAATAAACAACGACGGCCATCGCACATGCCATGTCACCCAAGTTACAAGTAAGTACCGTCTACAAAGCCACGCCTGCATGCCCTCCTCCATCGTATTATTATCCCATTATGCTAGAGTTTTTTTTCCCTTGGGCCATTCCCGGCTAAGCGCGGTTTCTCGGGGAGCTCGCAAGCAACCACGCCGTTGGGCCAGCCTAGTCTGCACGCAAGGGAAAGCCTGCCGACTTGTTGCCTCCTTCCCTCCCAGCCTACTGTACCTACCTCTATAGTTACTATCTAGTTAGTCTATTATTTTCCGTAGCCAAGGAAGCAAGCAGTGCCTGGCAAACCCCCGATTCTAGCCTTGCATGCCAGCTCCATCCTCCAGCTCTACTTTTCCCCCCTCCCTCTTACATCACACCACTTTCCTCTCCCCTTCTCCTTCACACCACCACAACCCATCCCTCTCCGGTTTCCAATTCAATCAACCACAAAACCAGCCCTTACAAAAAATGTCCAAGTCGCGCATGCCCCTGATCCTCGGCCTCGGCGCCGCCGGTGGTATCGGATACTACCTCTACAGCGCCGGCGGCAACGCCAAGGCCGCCGAGAACAAGTTTGAGAGTACGTTTTTCCCCTTTCTCCTCGCCAACGCGGCACGCTTCGCACTCGACACATCCGCCACCGCGTCGACGGAATGATCAACTCACTCACCTCACCTTCACCAGGCGACCTCCACAAGGCCCGCGCCAACATCAAGTCGGCCATCCCCGGCACCGGCTCCTCCCCCGACGCCGCCGGGAAGCTCCAGAGCGCCGGCTCCGAGGCCGGCGCCAAGCTCGACAAGGCTGTGAGCTTTTCTCCCCAGAGGAAGGGGGGAGGGTGATGGCAATTCGCTAACCTGACAATCGCACAGTGGCAGCAGGCGGATAGGCAGGTCGGTCAGACCCGCGACAACGCCGAGTCGTACGCCAAGGAGGCCAAGGCCGAGGCCCTCAAGGCCGTCGACAAGTTTGACAAGACGGTCGAGGACGGCGCTGCCAAGGCCAAGAGCGGCCTCTCCGGCTGGTTCGGTGGCAAATAATTTGCTACTCCTCGTCAGATTGTTAATGCTCTTGTTACTCACGTTTTTTCCATTTTGTCCATTTTGTCCATCAATGCGTTTACAGCCTTTTCTATAGGAGAAAAAAAAAACGAACAAACACTTTGTACTTAATTACCAACATCATCACGTCCATACCATGCACCGTCTCATGACCAACTTGCGTGAAATCTTCAACATGGCCTGAATTTGGCTACTTACATGTGAACTCCAGATTATTGTTCCCGAGACAGCCGTCTTGGCTGCTGATGTGAAAAGACAAAGAAGGAAATAGAGCTTCCCCCAAACTGGCCGGCTACTATACACAAGACACCCTCCGCCATCCTCCAAGGCCGATTTATTACTCCTGCTCCAGCTCCTGGGCCACCAGCTCGAGAATCTCCTCGACGCTCTTCTTCGCGTTCGCCGGCCTCTTCGCCACCGCCGGCCACACATCACCGTACCGTGGCTCCGCCGCCACGCACCTCGCCACCACCTCCGCGCGCTTCTCCTCCGTCCCGTGCTGCCGCAGGAACCTGTGGTACCACGCCCAGCTGTCCCCCCGCGCGGCGTCCAGCGCCAGCGCGCGCTCGAACCACCCCTGCGCCTTGTCCAGCTTGCGCTCCGCCCAGAACAGCCGCGCCACGCCCACGAACAGCGCCGGGTCGTTGTCCACCTTCTTGACCGCGTCCAGGCACCGCGGCTTGCGCTGCGTGCGCGCCTCCAGGTGGAAGATCTGCTCCACCCGCGGAGCGCGGCACGGCGAGGCGCGCGCGGTCCAGCACGGAGCGCGCCTTGACTTGGAGACCGGCGCGCTCCTCGAGCGAGGCGTAGAGCAGCCACAGCGGGACGGAGCGTGGGGCGGCCTTGACGCCGGCGGCGTAGGCGTCGCGCGCGGCGGGGACGCGGCCCAGGTCCTCCTCGTAGATCTGGCCCTTGAGCATCCACAGCTTGGGCGCGGTGGGGAAGAGCCGCAGCGCCTGGAGGACGAGGTCGAGCGCGGCCTCGGCGCCGGCGGCGGGGTTGGCCGGGTCGGCGTGGACGCGCTCGAAGACGACGCTCTTAGTCCAGACGCGGTCGGTGGGCGCCTGCTCGCGCGCGACGGCCAGCAGCTGCCGCGCGGGCTCGACGTGGCCACTCTCCGACTCGAGCTTGACGGCGGCGAGCCAGATGTCCTCGTTGTTGGGGTTCTGGTGGAAGGCGCGCTTGAGCACGAGGCGTGCGCCGTCGACCTCGCCGCTCTGCCACTTCTCCTTGGCGAGCAGCATCCAGAGGTCCTCGCTGTGCGGGCACGCCTCGACGGCCTTCTCGAGCACCTGCCAGAGCGAGGCGCGGGTGCCGTGTGCGCGCTCCAGGTCGGCCGCCGCCGCCCAGAGCGTCTTGCTGTTGACGAAGACGCGCAGCGCGTACGCGTAGACGGCGCGCGCCGTCTCGTACCGCCCGCGGTTGATGCTGCCGCGCGCGTCCTCGGCCCACGTGTCCTTGCGGTCGTCGTCCTCGTCCAGCCCCCAGCCGAGCGTCTCGCGGATGATGTTCTCGCAGGTGATGGTCGCGCCGTCCGCCTCGCACGCTTCCGCCTCGGCGATCCACTCCTCGCGCTTCGGCATCGCCTGCTCCTTGACAAGCACCTGCACGCCGCGCTTGATCACGTTGACCTTAGCCGCCTGTCCGAGCTGCTCCTGCAGGCGCGCCGCCGCGATCCAGATCTCGTGCGAGGTCGGGCACGCCTTGCGCGCCTTGTTGAGAACCTTTTGCGCGTTCTCCGGCGTCTCGAGGCGCGCCAGCGCGAGCCACAGATCCACCGACAGCGGGATCAGCTCCGTCGCCTTGGCCAGCATCAGCTTCGCGTCGTCGGGGTTCTCCTCCAGGTTGACGGCCTCCTTCCACAGCGCCTCCGACTCGGGGATGTGGTCCAGCGCCTGCCGTATTACGCGCTTCTTGTTGTTGGGGATGTGCTCCAGCCGCATGGCCTCCACCCATAGCCGAACGGACCGGTTGTTGGCCTCGATTGCTCGCCGCGCGATGATCTTGGCGTTATTGCTCTCGTGATTCAGGCGGATATTCTCCAACCACGCGTCCTCGCTCTTCGGACACCGCTCGCAGCCCTGGTCAATCGTCTTGCGCGCGGCTCCAATTTTGCCCGCCAGCTCCTCCAGCCGGGCGGCTGCTATCCAGCCCAGCGCGTTGTTGGGGTTCGTCTTGACCACGGATTGCAGTAGCTCGCGAACGCGGTTGATGTCGCCGACCTGCGTCGCGGACTCCGGCATGACCATGTTGTTGAGACTCGTAATGTAGCCCTGAGGGTCAATACTCGTAGAGCTGCCGTTGCTGGCGTCGCCATTGCCGGATCGCGAAGCCTGTTCTAATCTCGACTTGAGCACCTTGTCTCGCGCAGCGCCAATCTCCGCAAAGTTGGTCATTGTGCCGTCAGAGGTCTCTCTACCATCCGCGCCTGACGACGCACCGCCATCGTCCGTCACCATCGCGCTCATCTCGGTCGAATCGCGCGCCGCAGCCAGAACGCTGTCGGGGACGGCGTAGAATCGCTGTCGCAGCGCCTGCTTGCTTCGTCTGTTCTTGCCCGTCAGGTCACCGACCTCGGGGAGGTTCGCCCAGTCATCGTCGGAGACGGTCGCCAGCGCACGCTTGAGGTCGGTAAACTGCTGCTGAATCTTGGGGTTGTTGCGCTCGTACTCGTCGCGCTCGGCTTCTTCTCGTTCTTCTCGCTGGCGTTTTCGTCGATCCATGCGCTCGTCGACCCATTCCCAAATCTTGTCGGCCTCCTCGTCGTCCTTGTCGTAGAGGCCGCCGGCAAAGAGACCCACCTCGTTGTCCGGGTCCTGGTATCGCTCGTCATCGCCGCCGCCACCTCCACCCTCTTCATCGTCCTTGTCCTTCTTTCCCTTCTCCGGTGCCAATCCGAGCTGCTGGGCACGTTTGGCCAGTGCCTCCTTGATCTGGTCGTCGCTGGGGCCATCGCGCGCAGGGCCGAGATCAGATCTAGTCGTGAAGCCCGTAGCACCGCGACCGAGACCTGCCACGTAGTTTTCGGGAGCCGGCTGGCTGAGAAAGTCGCGTCGAGTCGTCATCGTAGCGCACGTACAGACTCTCTACACACGAAGATGCCGATGTGCGCCAGGTGCGATGGCGCTGAGTGCGCAAATACACAGGAGAAGGAGTAAACAAAGGCGTGGCTGTTGAAGTTGCTGCCTGTGAGAACCTTTTAGGAGCCTACCTATCTATGCATGTACAACGTACATAGTTGGCTGCGCGTGCAAAAGTAGACTCCACAGGCTGCCAAATTGACCAAACGTGGCACAAATTCGCCCCCCCCCCCCGTCTTATCGATAGCCTCCACCAAAAAAAGTTTCCATACCGCCCCTCCATCATCTTCGGGATATCTTCACTCAGCTCTTCGCTGTCCTTGTCGCGTCAGCACCTAACCGATCACATACCCCCAGCATGGCCAAAATCAAGACCCCCAAGCGCGGGGGCGCTTCCAATACCCCTTACGAACGACCGAGCCAGTCCAGCAGCAACGGCAACAGCAAATCCGCCAAGAACAACGTCTTCAAGTTCAACACCAATTTTGGCCAGCACATTCTCAAAAACCCTGGCGTGTCAGACGCCATCGTGGAAAAAGCATACCTCAAGCCTACCGACACGGTGTTGTAAGTATCTATAAGAATTCCTGTATTGATATCACGCTGCCGTGTGGGAAAGTTTCCGGGCTCTCGGTACTACCAAGCTACCTAGGCGGGTTGTCGAGGACTATGATGAGACAAATTCACCTTCAATTACTAACAGTTTCGGGCGGAAAAAAGGGAAGTAGGTCCAGGCACCGGGAACCTGACTGTCCGGATCCTGGAGCGTGCCAAGAAGTGCATCTGCGTCGAGGTCGACCCGCGCATGGCGGCCGAGGTGACGAAGCGCGTGCAGGGCACGCCGGAGCAGCGCAAGCTCGAGGTCCTCCTCGGCGACGTCATCAAGACGGAGCTGCCCGCGTTCGACGTGTGCATCTCCAACACGCCATACCAGATCTCCTCGCCGCTCGTCTTCAAGCTGCTGTCGATGCCGAACCCGCCGCGGACGTCGGTGCTCATGTTTCAGCGCGAGTTCGCCCTGCGCCTGACGGCCCGACCCGGTGACACCCTCTACTGCCGGCTGTCGGTGAACGCGCAGTTCTGGGCGCGCATCACGCACATTATGAAGGTGGGCAAGAACAACTTCCGGCCGCCGCCGCAGGTCGAGTCCTCGGTGGTGCGCATCGAGCCCAAGGTCGGCAAGGACCGCCCCAACGTCAGCTGGGACGAGTGGGACGGCCTGCTGCGCGTCTGCTTCGTGCGCAAGAACAAGACGCTGCGCGCCAGCTGGCTCGGTACCAAGGAGGTGTTGGCCATGGTCGAGCGCAACTACCGCACGTGGTGCGCGATGAACGGCGTTGCCGTCGATGACAGCCTGGTTGAAGACGGCGGCGATGAGGAGGAGGAGGAGGATGTGGCGATGGACGGCGGCGAGGAGGACGGCGGCATGGACGTCGATGGGGATGATGATGATACGCCGGCGTTTTTCAAGGAAGTGGCCGCCGCGAATGCCGCGCCGGCCAAGACAAAGAGCCGGCGCAAGAAGACCAAGGTGGCCGAGCTGGTCAGGGAGAAGATCCGCAAAGTCCTCGAGGACGTGACGGAGCTGGCGGACAAGCGTGCGGGAAAGTGCGACGAGACGGACTTCTTACGGCTACTGTTTGCGTTTAACGAGGAGGGGATTCACTTTTCCTGAGCATCTGGACGATGAGGGCTGGCATTGTGTAGAAGGCTATCTATTTTGGTGACTATTCAAAGGTTGAGCGTTCAGGCGTTATGGGAACACAAAAAGAGCTTTTTTTAATGATTCATTTGATTTCCTCTGTTTATCTACACGATGCGCTACGATAATACAATCAAAATTACTCATCTTTTTAGCAGAGGCCGAGGCAACTGCGAAACCAACAACGCGCATCATTTACTAATTACAAGGACAAAAGATGACAAAGCTGAAAACTCGTCAGTTGCCTTTTAACAATTAGTCTCGAAACATGTGGAGGCACCAGGTGATGGTCGTTATCAATTCGACTGCCGTAAAAACTTTTAACCCTCTTTTTAACGTTATGCCCATTAGTCAATCATAGCTTACTCGGTTGGTGCTGATCGTCATCAGCCCCAGCAGCCGTCGGCGTGCCTCGCAAACCTCGTGTGCTTATCGGCTTTCGGTTTCACCTCATCTCCCGGCCCTTTGTATTAGGCGAGAAGGAGGGGGAAGTCGCTAAAGCCGGCCAAATGACCCGGCCTTTCCCAACGCCCTAAAGGCAGAAAGGAAGCTTCTTCACCCGGCCCCTGGCCCACGCAGAGGACCGCGGCTAACGAGGTCGTCGACCAATGGGCGTATCCGGCCTAACGGCAACCTCCAGCCCCTTGTCCCATTCTGGCATCTGGATCAGCTTCGCAAAAAACGTGTTGCGCTGATCCTGATTGTCCCCGGTGGATTGTGGGGGAGTTGGGGGTCTAGAGGGCGGAGCGAGGTTCTCGCGTTGCAGATTGTCGAAATCAGGAAGGACGACGAGCAAATTACGAGAGGAAAAGACTCCAGCTTCAGTGCTGTCGAAAAGGGAAGGACGACTTGCAATGTCGAAAAAAGGAAGGACGACGGATTGATGATGGAAAAAGGATTCAAGTCGAACAAGGCAGTTGACTTGATGAGCTTCAAAGCCCGAGTATATAAAGAGAGCCCGAAGCAGCTCCCTCTAGCTCAGCAGACACAGATCCAGCCATCTCATCTTGCCATCTATTTATACATACACCTATATATAGCCATTTGTCACTTGTCAAGTCATCATGAAGTACACAGTTGCCGTCCTCAGCGGCCTGAACGCCCTCGCCGCCGCCTCTGGTCACCATTGCGGCACTGTGCCCAATGACAGAGTCCGGGAGATGCACGCCAACTACGCCGCGGCCTCTGCCGAGTCCCGGCTCCTCGGCCTGAGCGACATTACCGCCCGTGCCAATTACGAGATCCAGACCTTCTTCCACATCATCACCGAGGACGACACCGAGAGCGGTGGCAACATCTCCCAGGACACCATCAACAAGCAGGTAAGAAAAGGGCGAGAGACGGCGGTTCTGTCTGCTTCTTTTCCTCCTTTCCCTTCAAACCAGCGTCTTTGCTCATCACTCCGTGTTTCCAGTTTGACTACTTCAACAAGGCCTATTCTGGCACTGGCTTCTCCTTTGTCCTCAACGACACGAAATGGATCAACGAGCCCAGCTGGCGCCAGCTGACCTACGATTCCTCGGAGTCACTTCAAATGAAGGGCAAGCTCCGCCAAGGCGACTATGGAACGCTTAACGTCTACGTGACAACCCTTGACTCTCAAAAGAAGGATAGCACCCTTCTCGGATGGGCGTGAGTTTCTTCTTGTTTTTCTTTCGGTCCCCTTCCTACTTGCTTGCCTTGCGGCCTCCTTTCTTTCCATGCTCCTCCTATTTTGGTCTCCTGCTGACAATGTTTACCCAGCACCTTCCCGGAGAAATCGCCCACTCAGGCCCAGCGCCAGAAGGACGGCGTCGTCATCAACCAAGTCAGCCTCCCCGGCATGTCGCTTTACGGCCGCACCCAGGTCGGCGGCACGCTGGTCCACGAGACCGGCCACTGGCTCAGCCTGCTCCACACTTTCCAGGGCCCCGACAACGCCGCCGACGACGACGAGCTCGCAGGATGCCGCGGTTCCGGCGATGAGATCTACGATACCCCCGCCGAGGGCAGTCCCTCGAGCCGTTGCCCCAAGGTAAGAAACGCCCTTCTTTCTTTTTCCTTGTCTTTGTTCTTTCTGTGTTGGGGTCGTTTGAAACGGAGCCCGCTAACCTGCTCAGGACCGGGATACCTGCACGGGAACCCTTGAATCCAACAACAAGTCGTCGATGCCCGGCCCGGACCCTGTCCACAACTACATGGACTACTCTGATGATTACTGCATGACTGAGTTCACAAAGGGTCAGATGGAGCGTATGCGCCAGACCTGGCCCGATACCCGTGGCAAGTAAGCAAGTAAGCAAGTGACTTATAGGAGCTCCTGGGGTCGGACGCTCTACATGGCCGGGTCAATTTCTACAAAAGCTGGAATTTTTAAAATTATGTCCTGTATTTCTCACATAATATAAACGCTGTCAATATATCCTCCAGCACTTCTCAAACTGCATCCCACTCTTCCTTGCGACCTGGGGAATGGTTAACCTGGACGGTCGATGGTTGGAACATACAAAATGCAACTCAGCTTTCACCAAAACTTTATTCCTCAAGAATAGAAATTAAAGAGTACAAAATGGCTAAAGTTATCATTTAATTGGAAGTAAATTTCGTTGCTATTATTACGGTACACAATGCGCAACTCAGTAGATCTACAAACAGCAGCCACAGTCTGCCCCACCCTCGACGTCGCCTATTTTGCCTTCACTTTTTTGGTCTGCAATTCTGTCGTCCTGCATCATCAACAATTCCTCACGGCCTCTTCAGGCACTGCGATAAGCCATCATTAAGACGTCATTTTTATTCTTTTTCCTTTTCTCGCTTGTCACAGATGAAAGTTATGTGATTGACGTCCAGAGACACGGAGCCGCAGATCGCGACTAGCGCAACACAAACACCACGCCCAACCAAGATGCCTCAAGACCCCAATCTTTACGGGCAGCGGCCCAAGAAGAAGCAGCGAAGAGATGCCACCCTCTCTTCCTCCCTGGAATTTACGGCCCAGCTGACCTCGCTGATGGCATCATCCGGCGCCTCGTCAGGCTCCGCCACCGCCGGCCGCGTCCGCCCCTCCAAGGAGCCCAAGGACGACCTGTTTCGCAGCCACACGGCGCGGAAACGGGAGGCCCAAGCAAGCGCCAAGGACGAGAAGCTTGTCCTCAAGGACGTGGCGGGCACCGAGGAGGAGTCGCGCGAGCTGGCCCGCGTGAGGCGCAACATGGAGTGCAAGGCCCGCCTCTACGCCGCCATGAAGCGCGGCGATTACGTGCCGCAGGACAACGAGGCGGGACCCCTGATCGACTTTGACCGCAAGTGGGCAGAGAATGAAGAAGGCAGGGAGCTGTCTGAGCTAAGTTCGTCGTCCGGTGACGAGCAAGACGGGGACGGCGGCGACGACGAGATCATCGAGTACGAGGACGAGTTTGGCCGTCTGCGGCGCGGCACCCGCGCCGAAAAGGAGCGCATGGAGCGGCGCGCCCGCCGCGGGCTGCTCGGCGCCGAGGAGCTCGACCGCATGTCGGCGCGCCCCGCCGCGCCGAGCAACCTCATCCACGGCGACGCCATCCAGGCCATGGCCTTTGCGCCGGACGACCCGGAGCAGATGGAGGCGCTGGCGCGCAAACGCGACCGCAGCGCGACGCCGCCCGAGATGAAACACTACGACGCGGACAGGGAGGTGCGCACCAAGGGCGTCGGCTTCTACAAGTTCAGCAAGGACGAGGAGGAGCGGCAGCGCGAGATGCGCGAGCTCGAGGCGGAGCGTCGCCAGACGGAGGAGCAGCGCCAGGCGAGGGAGGACCGCAAGGCCGCGCGGCGTCGTGAGATGGAGGACAGGCGCAAGGCGATGGAGGCTAGGAGGGCGACGAAGCAGGCGGACAGCTTCCTAAGCGGGCTGGACGGGTGACAAGTGTGCAGCACGGGCTACTGAGTTAAGACTTTGGAACCTTGTCCTGCTGCTCTGCCAGGGCTAACCATGGACTGGGCTTCAGAGAATTCTAGGCTTTCTTTTAACTCTTTCGGTATGCTTTTCCTTATCCTTGTCCACGGGGTCTTTTGGTCGTTTCCTTCTACCAGTCGCTAATTCTCAACGCCTTAGGTTGACCATGCCTGTCGCAATTTTGTGCCGGAAATCAAAGGCCATCTAGACAGTCACTTTTGCCTGAGCTTACCGGGTTTCTCCACAAGTTTCCTTCTGTTTGTCATACTTTGCCTTTTTGCTTCACGGCCAACAAGGGCAAGTAGGGGAAAAAATCCAACACGCGACCAACACGCGACTACATCGTCGTCGTTCCCCGAGCGGGCCAGCGACGAGACCAGCACTACCAGCGGGACTGTCATGATCAACTCTTTACGTGATTTACAATTATAAAGTTGTGGGATAACTTTATAGCCGGAGCAAGTAAGTTGGTTGCCTGAACTCAGTTGGAAACCTTCCAGACGGTACTGAGGCTTCACGACTCTTCCTTTGTTGCCAACTAGCTTAACCGCCAAAGTTTATTTATTTATTATTTTATTGTTATTATTGTCCAAAATGAAGGGTAGTTGGTGTCCTGCTTCCGACTTTCCGTGTTGCACTTCACTCCTTCGTCACTCCTCGTGATAGCAGGGCCTGTTGAGCAACGCAAGACCCTACGACAACTCGACAACTCGACAACTCTTGCGTCCTTTGTTGCCTCCTTGCCACAACCTTCCTACGTCAACACGTTCTTTGCACCCTCTAGAAAAGTCGCGATGGCTCGCTTCTTCCAACGCCGGCGCAAGCAGGTTTCGTCCATGGAGGAGCCTGCCGCCCCCAGCGACGAGGAGCCCATCCAGTCGACCCTGTCCTCTGCCACTGACGAGGATTCCTTCCTGTGGACCTGGAGCCTGTCATCTGCCACTGACGAGGAGTTCATCCAGCCGACCCCGTCCTCCGCCAGCCACGAGTTCTCGTTTCCAGAGCGACAGAAGCGCCCGAGCCGTCTGCGCCGGTCCCTGCACAAACTCTGGACACGGGTAGTCACTCGCCTGCGCGGTGCCGCCCGCCCCGAGACGCCGCCGCCGCCGCCGCCGTCGCCGCTCCAGGCGTCGACGCGGGAAGCACGGATGACGACAGAGTCGTTCCAAAGGCTCCGGGAAATCATGCCGGTCTGTGTGGTCCAGGTCAGCGACGCGGGCTACCGACCCAGCGATCCTGGTGACCCCGGCTACTACACACATCGGCCCACTGCCGCGCCCCTACCCCTGTGGTCCCGGCCGAGGCCACCGGCGCCGGCCCCGGCCCCGACGTCGCCCTCGAACTCCTTCTACGGGCACCTTCGCGCCTCGCAGTCCGCATCTGACCATGACGGCTTCAGCATAGTCAGCAGCATCAGCGACAACGGCTACTTCTCCGTCGCTATGCCGGGCACCCCGCTTGAGCCCGAGAACCGCGCCTCGTTCTACCCCAGCGACGAGGAGGCGGAGGAGTCGCCAGCCGTGAGTGGACCGTCGACCTTCTACAGCCACGACTACGCCTCACGGTCCGTGTCGGACTATAACGGCCCTAGCATCGTTAGCAGTATTGATAATAGTAGTATCCTCCCCGCCGCTCGGCAGGCCACCCCGTTCGATCCCCAGAACAATCCCTTTCTCTACTTTAATGCCGAGGAGGAGGAGTCGCCAGCTATGAACGGACCATCGACGGACGCGTACGCGCAGGACCTTGCTGGCGTCGGCGGCTTCTACGGGCACGACTACGCCTCGCGGCCCGTATCGGACTATGGCGGCCCCAACCTCGCCAGGAGCATCAGCAACAATAGCATCCTCTCCACCGTCCGGCCAAGCACCCCGGTCGAGCGCGAGAACCGTGCCTGTTTCAACCCCGGCGAGAGCAGACCGTCGATGGACCCGCACGCGCAGTACCTCGCCGGCGTCGGCGGCTCCTACGAGCACGACTGCGCCTCGCGGTCCGTGTCGGATTATGACGGCCCCAGCCTCGTCAGCAGCAACAACACCATCCGCTCGACCCTCCGGCCGGCTACCCCGGGCGCGCCCGAGGGCCGTGGTTGGTTTTACTGCCGGGAGAGCGGAGCGCCGACGGACGCGCGCGCGCACGACCTCCCGCCGCTGGAGCGCCAGCGCTCTGCGTCCATCCCCACGATACCCATGCTCGCCCAGACTTACCGCCTGCCGAATGGCGGCTCGCCGGCGGCGACAGCGACTCTTGAGTTGTACGACCCGTTTGATGAGAGCGCTGGTCCCGGGGCTATTCCCCTGTGCGATCTGCACCATCCGATTCCCGTTCGCGGTCGTAGGGGCCCATGGATCAAGTTCCTGCCTGGATACATGCACCCTGTGTAAGCGGATAGCTGCAAGGCGGATGTATTACTGTGTTTATTTTTCTTTACTCTCTTCTGGTTGGGTTTCGATTTCGGTAGATGCCTTGTTACGTGGGAGATGCAACTACTACAGGGAAACATGGATGCCAGTTCCCCCCCCCCCCCCCCCCAC